TTTCCTCTCCTCGATTCTATTGCCTTACTTTCCAATTCAATTACTCCACATTTTTTCCCCTTCAAATTCCCTCCTATCAATCTCATAACTATAGAAAAAAAAACACATAAATAGTTAAAAATTAATCGATTTTAATTATCGGGAAATCTTTATACAATCTACTAGAAATTCACATGCATTTTCGATATAAATATAAAATTCAAATACAATGTACCATCGAAGTGGTTCACCTACACGTGAAACGCACACATTATCCTTGATTGGTCGTCTTTGTTGTGAAGGACAAACATTAAATGATTCCTAGTCTCTCAATTGGATAGGAAAACTCCAAAGTCCAAACGTGATTCGACATTGCCACTCACATGCCTACTATAATTAGCATCTTAGGCTTGTTTGAATTTTTTCATATTTTTATGCTTTTTATACGATGTGATTAAATTCATTGAATTCAAATGAAAATATTAATGAAATTAAATTAATATAAATTTTTATTAAAATTTTTTTATCACAATTACAATAATAATAATAATATTTTATTTTATCAAAATTAATATCACCGCTTATTTAAATAAAAACCTTAATTTTTTTACCTAGGAGCTCCATATTTTAGAGAGTCCAGTTAGCTCCCTACATGGACCAAAACAAGCCGAAAAGGAAACTGTTACTTGGACGAGACAAGTGCATTTCTTACAAAAAGAATGGGACTCATGTGAAGTGCACTCTTGGAGATAGAAGAGGCCAAAATGGTATTTTTTTCAACCATAAAAGGCCCACTAATTGGATTTTGTACATAAGTTGAAGGGAAGGGAGGACATTCAGATAAACAAAATTTTAACAACAATAATGAAAATCGAGACCGTTTAATTCTATTGTTTACGTGAAAACAATACCAATTTTATGTTTACGCGATGGCATTGAACAAGAATCAACAACATTTTGAAAGGGAGTTGGTTGAAACTTGTAAGGAAGAGAAACTTGAACCATGACCATGCGATTATTACAGAATGGGGTTTGGACCGTAAAATCGGACGGTGTTTTTTTTTTTGGTTTTAAGAGGGCAAAACTTTATAACAAAGAGGAAGGGAGGAGATTGTGTCACGGCTCAAAATTTAAGATTTGAATTCGTGTGGTTTCGAGATTTAGACATTTATTTTTTTAATATTTCAGATTAATTTATTTGTCATGATTCATATTTTTATGAAGTATTATTCGTTTTGATTTTTGATCTCACGATTTTATCTTACAAAAAATATCTCATAAGAGTAGATGATGTGAACTCTTTTATATTTCAATGATCATTTTATTTTATTTCATGTAAGATTCAAGACTCTTTCTTAAATTCGTGACAGTTAGGGTTGAACCTCGCCCTTATGTCTTCTTAAGACATTCTTAGCCACTAGATCACGACACCGGACGGACGGTGTTTGATCATGCTTGAGATGCCACCCAACTAATTCTGGTGGAAACTAGAAAGAATGTATGTTCTAGGTGGGTTAGTAATGATGATGGAGAGAATGGAGGGAAGGGACCCACTGATATTTTCATTGTTGTCCCCCCTTGTTTTTTCGCCCGTGAAGTGGGTCGGCAATGGTGGTGGGGGTGGAGGGATGGGGTAAGAGGCTCACGTGATAAAAATTTTGATGCTAACTCCAAGAAAGTGGACTGAAGAAGGGGACCCATTAACTACTTTCTAACAGAACCGGCCAAGCAGCAAAAAACAAACTCCTTTTTGTGTCCGCAAGACAAGAAGAAAGGTCACGAGCCTAAACGTTTTTTTATAACAGCCCCCAATTGCAGCCGTACTTTCCTCGATGGTTCTATCATCGTCACTGCCCCTGGCGCTGTGTCTGTTTGGTAAGACGGAAATAGTGGATGGATTTGGAGAGTGTGTGGGAAATAACATGAAAGGAAAAAAGAATAAAAAAAAAAGGTTTCCAACTTTTGCTCTTTATACCAATGGTCCGACCTCTTCTAATGTTGCAAATAAATCAGATAAAAAAAATGGTGTTCCAAATTTGATGCCTGGTTCTGATTTAGCTGACAATGTTAACTGGCCACAAATTTTCTTTCTCCAATTAAAAAAAATTAAATATTCGATAAATTACTTTCTTTATTCTCTAAGCAGAACATTTTGAAAGTACAATCAGGATAAACAATGCTTTGCTTAGAAGCAGGACAAGAAACCCAATTGCTGAAAAAGTGAAGCTATCCACTTTCAACAGTTGAACTCTTACCTTATAAATATATACATCATTTGTCCCTCTAGCACATCATACAGCAAGTTCTAATCTCATCATTTTCTAACAATGGAGTTGTTAGGCATATTGAGTCCAGTGAGAATTCAAGTAAATACCATTTACACCTTTTCCCTTCTTCCTTCATTAATTTACAAACCAAAAACAAATAATGCGTTCTCTCCATTTCATTTCAAAACAATGTACTAGAGTTATAGCTTCCAGGTGGTGGTTAATCACTTAACAGTCCATTTCTCTGCTTTATATATTCTTGTATTTAAAATAGTCATTGTTCCTTGACATGCTCTTTCTTGTACTCCCATTTGTCCCTTCTGTTCATACCCAAGCTTCTAACTTCCCCTTAACAATAAAAGTCATACAAGGCCAAGTTAATTAGCTCATCATTTCCTCATGAGTTCTTCTAATGGGTACTTACTTTCTCTTCTCTGTTACCTTCTTGACCTTGCAGGTGACCAGGATAGCCACAGTACTTGTTTTGGTGGCATTAAGCTTAGGTCTAAAAGGAGCTGAGGCCAGGAAAGGAAGGATATTGGAGTCGTTTGAGTACACAGCTATAAGTTGCAGACGACACACTGCATCAATAACAGATTTTGGAGGAGTCGGTGATGGGAAAACATCAAATACTAAAGCATTTCAGGATGCAGTTAATCATCTGAGCCAGTATGCGTCTGATGGGGGGGCTCAGCTATATGTTCCTGCTGGACAATGGTTGACTGGGAGCTTTAGCCTCACCAGCTATTTCACCCTCTATCTTGACAAAGATGCTGTTCTTCTTGCTTCTCAGGTTTGATTCGTTACGGCAATTTCTTTTGGGTGAAAGTTACATGAAATTTCACGTTCCAGGTTTTTGACATGAAAGATATTGGTATCTTTCCAGGTGTCACTTCAACTAAAATTGGCAGATCACCTATAGGAATTGAAATTAGTCTATTGAACTTGAACCTAACGAAGACTCTGAAATCCAAAACATGGACAATTTCACTTGTTTATTGATTGCTATAAACACATTTTATGTGCGAAAATCACGGTCCCCTAATTTTCTATTACCATTTGTCTGTAGGTGACTTTGAATCATGAATTTATGATAGTATTAGTTAACCTAGACAACAACCAAAAAGAAAAAGGCGAAAGCAACAGCGTTGGTCCATTTTATCTAACCCCTGCTAACTCTTATGACTAACCAATTGGTTTAGGATATGAAAGAATGGCCTGTTTTGAAGCCTTTGCCATCGTATGGTCGAGGAAGGGATGCACCTGGTGGAAGGTTCAGCAGCCTCATATTTGGAACTAATCTCACTGATGTCGTTGTTACAGGTAAATCTTTACACCGTGATTATCAGCATCATTTCAAGCTCATTAAGTCATAACAATATGTATATAATGACAAAACTTTGCAATATTTAGAAAATTAATGGACCCTACATTTATAATCCTGCTTCATTATCAGGGGCCAACGGTACAATCGACGGTCAAGGTGCATTCTGGTGGCAAAATTTCCACAAGGGCAAATTGAAATACACCCGACCTTACCTAATCGAATTCATGTACTCGGATAACATTCAAATTTCCAATGTAACGCTGCTCAACTCCCCATCATGGAATGTTCATCCAGTTTATAGCAGGTAAACATTTTATGCTTTCTTCAATCACATCCGTCCGCGTGGAAAAGACAGACATGATTAATTCTTGGTTTTATTTGTTTGATGCAGCAACATTCTTGTACAGGGCATTACCATCATCGCTCCTGTCACATCTCCAAACACGGATGGAATCAATCCAGGTATTGATTTTTACTTTCAAGCCAACAATATATTTTTTTCAGAACATTACTAGTATTAACTTGTCAATCTCTGATTGTTGTTCGTTTTTAATTTGATGGTCAGATTCTTGCACAAATGTTAGAATTGAGGACAACTACATAGTCTCAGGGGATGACTGTATAGCAGTGAAAAGTGGTTGGGATGAATACGGCATTTCATTTGGAATGCCCACCAAACAATTAGTCATCAGGCGGCTGACATGTATTTCTCCTTACAGCGCAGCCATTGCGTTGGGAAGCGAGATGTCAGGTGGAATCCAAGATGTCAGAGCAGAAGATATCACTGCCGTCCATACAGAGTCTGGGATCAGGATCAAGACTGCTAGAGGAAGAGGAGGATTCGTGAAAGACATATACGTGAAAAGAATGACTTTGCACACCATGAAATGGGTGTTTTGGATGACAGGAAACTATAAAGCACATGCTGATAATCACTATGATCCCAATGCGTTGCCGGTGATTCAAGGGATCAACTATAGAGACATTGTGGCGGACAATGTGTCGATGGCTGCCAGATTGGAAGGAATTGAAGGTGATCCATTTACTCAAATCTGCATATCCAATGTCACAATAGGAATGGCAGCAAAGGCTAAGAAGGTGCCATGGACTTGCACTGACGTTGAGGGGATCACAAGTGTAGTAAGCCCTCAGCCATGTGACCTATTGCCTGACCAAGGACCCGAGAAAATCACAGCTTGCGACTTTCCAGCAGAGCCTTTGTCCATTGATAGGGTGGTGCTCAAAAGTTGTACCGATAGGGTGAATTATTAAAAGCGATTCATCATACATGGATGTGTTTTATTATAGATGATCCATTTAAAACTGCTTGAGAAATTCTTGTAGTACAAACATAACTACATAAGACATCTAAACTTTGTCCAGCACATTCTTATCATGCCGAAATTTTAGAATACAGAAGCTATGAAATCTTTTATGTTACAAGTAAAACAAAACCACTACCACCAATTCAACTTTATAATATGCACAAATTTTTAAAGTAGTTTCATGACAAGTAAAGAGTGAAAAGTTATAGAATTAGCAGTTTCAGCACGCTAAAGCCTTCATGTATTTCCGTACCCAAGAAAGCGTACATGACATAGACTGAATACATGCTCTATGTCTGCATATTTCTAGTTCACTCCTCTAGATGAAATGAAGCAATAAGAGCATCATCGGCTCAAATAACTAATCTCTCTAGAGTCAAAAGAAGAGCCTCCTCCAACTAGAGGTTGAAGCCCATTCTGATGAGCAGGACAACTGATAGCAATTACACGAGACCTTCCCCTCACAAATTCTATTGCTGCAGGCAGCAAGAGATGTGAAATGAAAGTTGAATAAACTCTCATTCTGTTTAAGAGTATTCTAAGCTGAGTCTTTATCTTTCTAATCTCAAAGGGACTGATGAGTCCTATATAGTATTGCAGCAAACCATAGCCACTTAGGTACACTTCCAGGCATATACAACACATAGTCCTCAATGATTTGGGTCTGGATTGAATTTTACAGATTCTCTATAGATAAGCTCCTTGATATCTTCCTCAGTAAAAGATGGTAGCTCAAAATCAAAACTGAAAGGCCTTGGGCAAACAGGCTCCTCATTGATGTCATGAAGAGGTGCCAAGTATGGGTGGCATAGAGCCTCATCGACTGCGACAAACAATAAAAAGTTGTTAGCAAGTGAAGAAAAGGACCTTAAGGTGATGGAGAAAAAAAAATGGTGAGGGAGGGGTAGAGGACAGAAAGTGGTGATTTGGTTCCATGAATTAGCATCATGCAAATTTTCCAATGCTTGCTCAAAATTAAGCACAAAATAGCAATTTGTGATTAAAACAAACTTATCTGAATCTTAAATCCATCACAATGTTAATGTGAAGTAGCAGTAAGAAATCTGCAACCAACTATACCTGTAATGCGCCTATGTGGATCAAAGATGAGCATCTTCTCTAGCAAATCAACAGCACCAGGTGACATGTTAGGAAATCTAGCAGAGAAATTTTGCCTTGGGTACTGTGGAAGCTGTCTGACGTATCTTCTGGCATTGTCACTTCGAAGGAACCCAAGACTGGAATCATCAGGTGAACCTATAAGCTATTCCAGGGAAAAGGAAATTCTGTACAATTTAGCATACTTCGTTCAACTTCCATCAAGATAGATAAGCAAAAAGTCAATGCCTTCAGAAAAACTGTGTTTAGTTTTCCGGAGATTTGAAAAATATCTACAGCATTTCTTGGGACACAATTGTCCATGGTATTCCAGCACTAACAAAAGAACATGCAAATTAAGATCACACAGGAATGCAGAGTCGATGTCAATTTTACACAATTAAAAACAGCTAAGGAAAGGTAAAAGGCGGAGGAGAGATAGGGTTAAAAGGCAAGTCCCCAGCCAATGTTCTTCCTCAATTCACTGCTAGAAGCTACAGCTTTCAATTTTAAAAACAAAGGACCCTTCTCTCCCACAGAAAGGAGTATCATCTCCCACAGACAATCATAAAACTCATTTCTTGGAGATCTTGATTTTCTATCTAGTCCTTACAGCCTATATGCTGAACCATCTAACCTACTTGTTCAAAGGTAGCATTTCTCGGATGACCATGACTATTGCTGGTTCCTTGTTAGAATTCAAGATTACGCAATTTCACTGAGGAAGCAAAATTCATCTGCAAATCTCACAACCAAAGGGTCAAAAGCAATGGGCCAAAACTTACAACAAAATGACATGGTAGGATGCAATTAAACGATCTCCGGACTACAAGAAACAGTAAGATGTTAAAGAGCATCTAAAGAGTTTTCTGGTAGTTTCCTGCGAGAAAATTCTAGAAAACATACCTCAGTGATAAGCCTCAGCTGATGCACATAGTCTTTCCCAGGGAAGAGGGGTTGTCTAGTCATGATTTCACCAAATATGCAACCCACCGACCAAATATCAATTGCAGCAGTGTATTTAGAACAATTCAGAAGCAATTCTGGAGCCCGGTACCAACGAGTAACTACATATTCTGTCATGAAATCAGTTTCAGATGTTGTTCTTGCAAGCCCAAAATCTCCAATTTTAAGGTCACAATTTGCATTCACAAACAAATTGCTGGGCTTTAAATCACGATGCAAAACATTTGCTGAATGTACATATTTGAGCCCTCGTAAAACCTGATATATAAAGTACTGCAAAAGTAGCACTGCATAATCAACAATGCTTCCAGTTTCTAAACTGCTAAATATAAATCATACTATATTTCTAACTAAATATGACAACAAACAGTAGGAATATCCCGGTATATTTTATAAGTGGGAAAGTATTTGATACCAACCCGACAATGATCATCTGTCAATGGTTGGTTGGATCGTACGATTTGACTAAGATCAGTGTCCATCAGTTCATAAATGATGTACACATCATTAAAGTTCTCCCTCTGTGGAGGCCGTATGATGTCTTTGATGGCAATCACCTGAAGAAGAAAAAGACCGACAAGTAAAACTATAATTCCAATATCAGAGATTACCTACTTTAGTAGAATCTCATGTCATTATTGAGATGAAGAGATACGAAGTGGAGGAACTTTGTTACCCAAGCCTAAGAGTAAGAAACTAACAACACAAAACCTGTCCTCAATGGGTTCCAACGACAAAAGCATCAGTCAATAAAAAAAATCTGATAGGAACATTTAGTTAGTTCTTTGCACAAGGCAAAATTAGTCTGCCAATTTCATCGAAGAATATAAAGACTGATAACAGCAATTTTTACAAGATTTAGGAAAACCCTGGTTAGATAGTGACTTCTAATATGCAAACGAATAAGGAAGGTTTAAGCACAATATCATAAGATTGGCCCTTGCTTAATGGTTAATAGTTACTAGGGTATAAAGGTTATCTTCACAAGGAACTCAAATCAACAGGAAGGTTAGCCCAAATTTCTATAATTACACAAATTGGGACAAAAATGTGGATATTGTTTTTGTCTCCCGTTTTAAGGACGGTCAAAACCTTACATGATGGAAAGAAAGGAAATGTTTCATCTCCTCAGATTGTTTTGATGGCCACAGCAACCTCACCCTTAAAGCAAGCGAGGAGTCTAACAATTAGGAGTCTATTGACTTAAACAACAAATTGACATGTCCAACAAATAGGTGAACAAGCGAACTATAGAGCGAACAGAACTTACATTCTCATGATCCATGTGACGAAGAAGCTTGATCTCTCGCAATGTCCTTTTGGCATCAATCCTGTTGTCAAATGCATTACCAATTTTCTTGATAGCAACCTCCTCCCCTGTCTCTGAATTCATAGCAGAACTAAGAAAAAGGGAGCGAAAATCACATGTTAGCTTCACATTATTAATAACATATAGACAGTAAGCCTAACAAACAGAATGATAACTTTCTTCCAATCTCCTCAGCTGGGAAGTTGGTGCCTAGAGTCATTCACTTCAAGGGGGCCCTAAATTTGGCAGTTTAATTTCATTAAAAGCAATCACACTGCAAAATACAGATAAAAATGCTAATGAGAGCCACACTCAAGTGTTACTCTCCATCCTACATGAAGTAACCAAAGGTACAGATAAATCATTAATTCACCACGAAAAGTGTGATTATAATTCGCTCAAACAAACAAACAAACAAACAAAAAACAGAAACAAAAGAAAAACCACCTAGCCTGTATTATCATGCTAATGAATTCCAATCTTTAATCTGAATTAAAAAGATATCAATCTAAAAATACAGGCCTTAATATTGCCAAGTTCCCATCGAAGCATGTAAATAACTTATTAAAATCAATAAACTTGAATTCGAGAAAAACAGTTATGTAGAACCCCGAGGGTAAGACAAACCCAGGTCATGAAATAAACAAGAAGTCAATCAAAATAGGGACTTTAACTGAAACAACGTTAAAAGAAGAAGAAGTAAAAAAATTTCTTACCAGACAATACCATAAGCACCACGGCCGACGGGGCGAATAGGGGGGACGTATTTTCTGGAAACTTCGAAGAGGTTACCATAGACGTTGTACTGAACATAGCGTCCACCATGAGTTGATATACCTCTCAAGCTGTGCTCCCCTGAGACAGAGCTTGACTCTATTGACATGCTTTCTGCATCCAAATTTGAAATAACCCGAACCCAACTCGAACCCGAAATAAAGAAAGGTTTTCTGCAGTAATAACAGCTAAAATTGAGAGAGAGAAAAGGAAAAAGGTTGGGAAATGGGGGCTAAATTTTGGGAGAGCGTGTTGGTAGTTGTAAAGTTCCCCTTTTTCTATATATATATTTTTAATTTCCTAAAGGATTTGCTAGTAATGTATTTTTCAAAGATGGGTGTGAACCTTTTGGAACTGCAAAAGCTTGAGTCCCCGTGAAGATTCCGCCTTTCAGATACACCTTTCTGCTTTCGCTTCTTTTTTATTTTCTTTTCTAAATTTTCCTCTGTTTTCTCTTTCGATGTCTTTCCAGGGTAAAGACCATATGGTTTTGTAGTTTTCCAAGGAAGGTTTAAGGATTCTTACAGGTTTCTAAGATGTCGCCAGTCCATGGTAAATTTTGGCATTTGTTCTGCATTTATATTTTCTGGATAAGATATGATTTTTGTTTAAATCCTTTCATAGTCAAAGTTGGTTATTCTTGTGTTCGCAATCAAATCAGCATTAGATTTTTAAATTTATTAATATTATTTTTAAAAATAATTATATAAATTAATTAAATTAAATTTCTAATTATTAAATCATTTTACATGAACAATATTTGGTACTTCTTGATGTCTCAGATTTCTTCAATTATAGTATATTCAAAGTATTGCTTATAATTATATGGTATAGTCAAAGATGGTGGCTGGCGCCATTGACAATGGCAGATAGACATTGCTGTTTTATTTCACATTACATCATTGGAGATTGAAAATACCTATATTACCCTGAAGGCCAAATTGAAAATACCTATCTTCTAGAGTACATAGAATCATTGTCAAAGAACTATTGGTTCAAGTCCTGTAAATCAATAGTCAAAGTTCCTTTCTTTATATAGAAAATTTTGGTTTCATATATGTAATTACGATGAAGCAGAAAATCTTTAGGTTTTTAAAGCGTAACACCTGGGAAACGCTGAACGGTTGAATGAAGATGCTTGAGGCAATTACCCAGCAATTCTGGGCAAGCAGCCAGTAATGACATGAAGTCAAGAAATTTGGATCTTCCTCTAAGTTAGAAAGTTATGTCTGGCTCTGCTCTGGCATAATATATCAGGTCCGATTTCAGAGCAACGACTTTTTTGTTCCTGATGTCACATTTATAACTGATATTTAGGGAATAATAATTGATGATGATAATAATAATAAGTACTGAACATTTTGCAAACAAATTATGAGCCCTTTCTATAACTCTCGACATTGGATGGTACATTGTACACGTACAGCCAAGTAAATTAGTACTGTAACACAACTTACGACTCCCACACCACATACTTCCATAACCCAAACAAGGCTGTACATGTCTACTCGTTAGAAAACACGTCTCAACCTAAACCATCTGTATACAGAAGAGTTTAGCTTCATTGCATTCATGATTTCACCTCACAACTTGCTCTTCCACTTTTCTTCCTACCATTGAATTTGGGACAGCACCACCCGCTCTTAGATTACAAAGCAAAGCATCACGCCCAGTCAAAACTATTTTGAAAAATCCATCTACTACCTTTGAAAGATTATCTAGCCCTTGTGATAGTTTCTCTGCTGTCTTTCTCAAATCTGAAACATAATTCTTGAACGACTCCCCTTCAATAGAACCCAACCCATCTTGGAGCAAAGGATACAATTTCTGGACACATGCATCGACAGCATCTAGTTCTGTTAGAACTGAAAATTTTCCGCAAGAAAATATATTTCTAATTTCCGCATTCACAGTAGTTTGAACATCAGAAAAAACTTGAGCCCATGGTAGCGTGTCAGCAACAGTTAAATCTAACAAATTCTTATCAGAACCAGAGAAAGCTGCAGCAAAGACACTACAGATATATACAGTAGCCACCTTAGCTCCATACATTGCACGCATCAAAACCTTTCCTTTAGCAGAGTTCTTCACCTTAGGCAAGTTTAATGATCCAACAAGATTGTCCAGGATTGTGCGACAAGCTTCAACTCTCGGATTTTTTGAGCCAAGGTGCTGTCTCCAGCTATCAACTGAGGAACAGGTCCGCATGAACTGCTCTGGGGAGTTGGACTCCAACTTATGCAAGACGAACTGAAGTAAGAGATGGCCTTGGTTGAGTCTAGTAAGCTCAGAGGTAAAAGCAATACTAATATCAAGCAACTTCACACTGATTTCCAGGTAGACATCTATCCACTTCTCCTCCCAATCACTCACAGGGAGCTCCAGCTCAGTTATCAGGTTTTTTATGTCACAATGAATCTCAGAAAGTGTGTTCATTGCTAGTTTCATCCATGACAAACTAAGGATGTCATCCTTGTCTTTTGGCACAAGTTTTTGCAGCCTCTGTGACAAGGTGGCCTCAAATGCGTTCAATAAAGAAAGAAGTCTTGGAGAAAACTGAGAACCCTTAGGTGATATGATACGGAAAGGATTTCCAAAATGGAAGAAAGGGCGATGTGGCTCCTGAGGACGACTCATTTTCATGTATTTACTGCAAAATCCAGAAGAACAAATTTAATCATCATCATGAAAACCAGACTTCAAAATTAACCACGTTAATAATTCCATGAATTATTACAAACATCATATACTCTGAAGTTTCCATAAGAAATCATCTTTATAATATAAAGGCATAGGCAAAGCTCTAAAGTCATCATCTCTATAATAATAACGATCGATTGGTTCCATGACCCAACAATAAGGGTGCTCCTTCATATACCTCCCACTCATTTCTAATCAAAAGGGAAATCAACTTGAACCCTTCTCCAAGACTATACCCAGCAGATCTAACCATCATAATCCCTCATAATAACTAACCACTGCTTCCATGACCCAACAATGAGGATATCTCTCACTTGACCCCCCTCACCAAGACTATAACCAGCAGATCTAATCAACGTAACAACTCATAAGCCTCACAAACAATTGGATAAGCAGAATTTCTGGATTTGAACAAATAATCAACGGCAGTGAAACCATATATTCAACAGCAAAATCAAGATAAATACAGCCGAAGGATGTGGTGTAACAACGAATTAAGGAGAGATGGAAAGAATGCAATCAACTGATCAAGGTAGTACACCAAGATCTCCTTGATTGCCTCAAATTCCTCTCTGGCTAGTCACCCTATCTTTGCTTTATTTCTACATGATTTTCTCCTTGAACTTTAGGTTAAACTTGATACAGAGAAACAGCCGAGTCATTTATACACAAAATAAAATCATTCTACAACCAAAAATTCCAACGAAACACTAAAAATCACATCTTTAAACACAATTCTTTAACGAGCAAAATAAAAAAACACATAAGATAGAGCCAGATCTGATGAATCTGAAGAAATCTAACACAAAGACATCCAAAACCATAAAGTCAAACAAATCTAAAGGTAAATAAACCCCAAAAAACTTACCTAAATTTTAGATCCTTAGGTCAATAAACCAAGCAGAAGGAAAAATTGTCCAAGGATTTGTTAGGGTTATGTTAAGAACTGAAGATAAGAACACAAATCATAACCTAAAATAATTTCACCAACTACGAATCTTCATCTACAAAATTGAAAAATATATATTTCGAAAAATATATATTTCAAAAAACTATTTGTGTTTCTTCGGAATCGCACAAAGATTGGCGAATTGAAGAGTTAAAATAAGAAATAAAAAAAAAAAAAGGTGAATATAAAGGAAATGACAGAATTGTAATTGGGAAATTTCGGTGAAAGCTTCAAACGCGTGGCGTAGGGCTTCGTTGAAAATTCATCTTTGGAAAAGATGCGGTCAGTCTTCTTTTTTTAATATTTTGTGGAGTCGTTTAAGATTGGGAATATTGATAGAAGCACTGCCTGTTACGGGTGTTCAGTCACAGAATGTATACGTGGAAGACGATGAATGGGGAAGACAGAGATATTAGATGACGGATAGCAGAATTTTTTTTTTTTTGTTAATATCATTAAAGGGCCGTCGGCGTTGGATATATTTTTCAGTGGGCTGGACGTCAGCCCTACTCAACTAACCGGTTTCTAGTAGCACCAAAAATCAATCAGAATTAGGCGCAGATCCAACGGATACAAATGAACTGCGGTGCCAGCTGCACGTTTCCAATGAAAAACCCGTTTTTCGATGACGACGTAAACAACAAAACGATAAATAAAAAGTTTTTATTTATTCAAAATTAATAAATAATATTTTAAAATTTACTAATTAAATAAATATAGAAAAAATAATAAAATTCGTTTACTTTATTTTATTTATATTGAAATGTATAGTAAACGATAATTAGTGAATATTTTTATTTATTTATTAAATTTAAAAATAATTATGTATAATATTTTAAAATTTATTAAATAAATAATAAATATAATAAAATTTTGTTTCTATTTAATTCATCTAACCTCCTCATTTCTAACATTTCTAATTTTATTAGAGGCTTTAAAATGAAAGTTCTGTTCATTGTTGTTGGAAAAATGAGGATCCATTTTAGTTTAGATGAAGGTCTGGAAACTCTACAACCTGTAATCATTTTTATTATTACTATGGAGTTCATGTTGAAGAAGCCAAACACTTTTACGGGTTGCTTCCAAAACATAGTAAAAATCAAGAATTAAAGGTGAACCTTAGCGCCTAGAGTACGGTTCTTTGATACAATATAATTGGCTTTGGTTAGCCATTGAAGCACGGCATGTAATGTTTACTTTTTCCAACAAAAGGATGGTGACCCGTGAGGAAATAGTCAGCATTGCCGCACGTTGTTTCTACTAGTAGTTTCCACAATCCTACGGTTTTTGCTGATTAGCTTATTATCTCCCACACGAATTTCTCTTGGATTATCAACCCCATTTAGTATTAAATTTGATATTTATTATAAGTTTCTGCGGGAGCCAAACACTAGCTTGGATCATCAAGCAATCAAACCAAGATTGTCAAGTGCCAAGTTGGGCTAAAGGGTCCACCAGAAACCTGCACAGCCAGCTTATCTCCATCATGCCAAATGTCGTTAGTAGGCTCCATGGATAAGAGCATGCTCTGGCATTGATGGTGAAATCAATGTAACAAGCCAACAGAGCCATCCTGTATTTCGTAGCAAGATGGCCCAACTCCAACAAGGCAACAAGGATAAGAAACACCACATGAATAAAGAGGCTGCTTGCTGGGTCCATTTTTCACCACCATCCTATATTGGAATTGGCACCGATGCAGATGGATAATCTATATACCTCTATCCTAAAAAATGGTCCACCACCAATACCCCATCTGGTTTGAAGGTTTGCAATGTTGGTGCTGAAGGTTGGAAAAACTAGGCATCGCAAACCATCACAAATTGTATGATCGAAAAATATCTATATGATCTTCAAACAGAAGAAAAAGATTGAAGGGAAAGCTCATTATCTCTTTTAAGTTTTGACCCAAAGGGAATTTTTTTTCTTACAAATAGATGAAGACAATCAATAACAATTGGTATAAGAATTATGAATTCATCCATTTATACAATACTGTATATTATATATGGGGGAAAAAGGGTAAACCAAACATAAAATAAATGCAGATTATTATTTTCTCATAATGGAGATACAACAAAACACTGGGGGAACTAATAGAAAAATAAATGTAAAGAAAAAGCTTCAAAGACTTAAGAGAGGCTTCAATTTGTTAGTCACCTAATGTTGATAGCGTTATCTCCACCTAGTTGGCTGGTGATGGTTCCTCCCGCTATCACCTTCACTTGTATCAGAAGCAGAGGCCCCATCAAATCATCTATCACCAAATTTTGTAGCATTGCCATTTGTTTGCTGATCATCAGAATGTGAATTGGATGGTTCTCTTGCAATCCGACGTTCCTGCAAAACAAGATAAAGGTTAAGAGATTGTCCGCAAAGAAAATAACATGAAACCTCCCTTTCTGATGCCAATGTTAATCTATAGTATGCAAATGGTGCCTACATCACGGAATAGCAGATCATCAGCCTCAAGCATGTGGATAACGTGCCCCATTTTTGGTCTCTTTGTTGCATCAGGATCAACACATCGCAGAGCAACTAATAGTACACGTTTAAGTGCTTTTGAAGCAGGCATCTCAGGCAGCTTAGGATCAACTACTTCCTCAGATTTTCGGTTTCCAACCATGGTTTTTAACCATTCAACCAAATTCACCTGCAATCATTTAGTCATTTCCAACTTAGCAACATAAGGAGCAAAGAAACCATACTAGTGAGGAAGGAAATATAATAAGTCTAACCTCTCCTTGTGGTCGGCTATAGTCAACAGGACTTCTCCCAGAAATAATCTCCATAATAAGTATACCAAAGCTATAGACATCACTCTTCTCATTCAGCATTCCAGTACAAGCATATTCTGGAGCAACATAGCTGGAAAAAATACAGTGATTTTCCTGCTTTAGATTAATGAACTACACAGCATTTTTGTTAGTGCACATCAGCACATGTATGCATTCACAATGGCTAATCTTAATTAAAAAAGAGAAAAATGTGCAAGACTACAAAATGGAAATTAACCAACCCAAATGTTCCCATCACTCGAGTTGTCACATAACTCCTTTCAGAACACAAGAGTTTAGCAAGCCCAAAATCAGAAACCTTGGGGTTCCACTGGCGGTCAAGTAGGATGTTGCTAGATTTTACATCCCGATGGACAACCTTTGGCTCAAGACCCTCATGAAGGTAGGCTAAACTGCAACAATAATGCAAATAAGCACTCAGAACAAGAACCATCACAAGTGAACGGAGAATTTATAAACAACTGTACATGAATGAATGAATAGAATTTTAATTGATGTACCCTTTTGCTGTTCCCAATATGATATTCATACGGATATCCCACGTAAGGGGACTGACATCCCCTACATCCCCGTGGAGCCATTGTTCCAAATTGCCATTGTCAACAAACTCATATACAAGCATCCTGAAAAGCAAAACCACATAAGTTCCTTCTCTTTACATAATTGAAAACAAAGTAGAATAAAAAAACGCCTCAATTTCATAGTGGAAGATAATTGGCTACCTATATGCACCTTCAACACAGTATCCATGCAACCTTACTAGATTTTTGTGTCGTACACGCCCAATCGCTTCCACCTCCACCTTAAATTCCTTCTCAGCTTGACCCCTGAAGGATTGATTGATTACTTTGATGAGCTAATTGGTAGGCAAACCAAACATAAATTTATAACAAAAAAAGGAATAAAGAAGACAAAAAAAAAAAGATTCAACTAACATAAAACATTATCATCCAGACCCAATTATGAGTTCTTTTCCTCAAAAAGCAGTGTTCTTTACACTTTACAGCAGATTGAGTAACCAACATAAGGCAAGAGTTTTAAAACCCAAAGCAAAAAAAAAAAAAAAAAATCCCAATGAGGCAGCTAACTGTTGCATAAATTCTTCAATTCCATAATAGGAAAAAAAATCTTTGTTTCTTAGCAATCGAATTGAGGTCAAAACCAACCAAATTAAAGACACATAATCCACAAAAGAACATTCAAACTCAAAACCAACCAAATTAAAGACACATAATCCGCAAAAGAACATTCATTTCTAAAAAATGACATAATTATTAACCAAAAAAGGCATATAATTGAATAAAATAAAGAATGGGGTACCTGTTATTAAGCAAATTCTTGACAGCAACTTTAGTTCCATCAGTTAAAACGCCACAGTAAACAATTCCATAGCCACCTTCACCAATCACATTCTCTTCACACAATCCATTCGTAGCTAATTCCAGTTCCCTCAGAGTATACCATCGTCCCCAACCAAGATGAGACACTTCCGGCCCCACACTTCCACTCCCAAACGACGCCGTCTCACTCACACTCGCACCCGCACTCGTCGGCCCTCTGCTTTCCCCACTGGAGAACACCACTCTGTGCTCCATTTTTCCCAAGTCCACTTGAATCTCCGGCACCGGCGGGGCGACATGGTGGTGATCGGGTGCTGACGTATGGTGGAGTATTTCTTGGATCTCTTTGGAGATTGGTGGCGTGAGGTCCACGTGTTGATGTCTGCGACATTTGCGGCGGGTTGTGAGGCATAGTGAGAGAAGAAACAAAGTCAAGACTATGAGTGAACCGAGAAGAATCCCAATGACTACCCATAGTCTTAACCCGAAAATCGACGTCGGCTTTGACAGCTCCGTGTTAACAAATGCCGCGTCGTACACTGACATTTCCTTTTTGGGAATTTCTTCGTTTTCCAAATCAGTTTAAGAATCCGGCGGCATTAGCTCCGCCGGAAAAAATGACGTCCAAATTTGAATAAAAATGGGAAGAGAAAAAAGAATCAAACGAATTTTTAAAGCAAAATGGAGACAGAAAGGAAGAGAAACAGAGTTTTTTTTTTTTTTTTTCAGCACTTACTACAACTATTTTTTTTTTAGTTATATAATAATAATTATTATCACCTTCTGTACTTTTAAACAAAGTTGTCTGGCTTTTTCCTTAAATTAATGGAAATTAAAAATGGAGTGTGGGAATTAGTAATTAGACGAAATTGCCCTTGTGTTTTCTTTCTTGTTGTATCTAGTTTGGACAAAGTGTGGATAAATTTGAGATGGCGGTGACCGCTAATGGGGAATTCAGGACACGTGTTGATTAGTTAAGCTTTGATCAGATCGGATGCGTAGGGACGTCCCACATGAGATTTTCACGAGGGTGATGAATCTGCAGGAAGCTTGGGTAGGGCCCACAAGTGGTAGCACCACATTCACAAGTAGAGGAACTATTGATTTTACTATTATTATGAAATTAATTAATTAATTAATTATTATTATAATAGGAATTAAGACAAGTTGAGGGAAAAGGCCAAAAGTGTTGATTGAAAAAGAAAAGAAAAATAGTAGGCAGTGGCAGTAGCAGACACTAGCAGTAAGTGGAGAAGGAATTGTCTAAGAATTGATGAATACACAAAACATTATTGCATTACTGTGGAATGTTAAATAATAGTAGTTTGAAAATGATTTATTACTACCCTGTTTTGATTGGCGCTTCAAAGACATGCAGTTGGTTGGGGAATTCAGTATCCTTTAAGAAGAATAAGCCATTTGGTACGGGAAAAAAACAATACACTATCATTCACAATAATAATAATAATAATTTAAAACTTCCCCTTTAATGATTTTATTGTATTATCCATTTATGTTTGGCTACCCAATTTTTTTTTTTATGGTAGTATACTTCTAGTTAACTTCCTTATCAATAAAAATTTTAAATACGAAAATTAATTTAATTAGTTTATATAATAAATTTTAAAATATAATTTTTAATATATGTGAAATTTAGATTCTAATATATGTAATTTATTAAAAAATATTTTATATTATGCATATAATTATTAATGGAAATCAATATTATATCTTAAAATGTCACATCTGTATTATTCAAATTTATGTTTTTCAAGCAAATTTATAGCTTAATATCGAGACAAGCAGATGTTTAGCAAGACATGCTACCTATTTTTCTCAGAATTTTTTTTTTTTTGGTGTGACAAGTAATGTATCCATTTCCATTTTGTGACTGAACACCGGACTACAAAGACTTTGAAAACCAGGTAGAATTTTAATACACCCTAAATTGTCGTTTAGTTCATACGTTTATCCTTAATGCATAAAAAGAGCTATTGAAAATGGAAGACCACCGCCACTTATACACACCTAATTCACATAAACTCCAACTGCATTAACTAAAACTTGCAATGCTTAATTGTGTAACAAATCTTCACGAGTCCAGTACCTCGCTGGCTATTTGGGTTAAGCTGTTGGCATCATTTAAAAAAAAAATGTTAATAATTCATTATTCTCCCTTGATTTTGACAATAACATTACAACAACTACAAAAAAAATTAAAAATAAAAATGAAAAAACCGCTTAAACAAGGTATAGGCTCATTAAAGCAACTCTTAAGTGTATAAGAATTAAGACATGAAAATTCATTTCAGATTAATCATATATAATATATCCCACAAAACTTGATTATTATTATTTTTTTTCTCCACCATCAAACAGATCTGCAGATCAGACAAAATCCAAAGACTGCAGAAATATAACACAACATATTAATCAAAGCTTTGTTTTGTAGCGTTCAATGTTTTTCTCTTTCTGACTAATAAGTGTTTTTTTTTAGTGCCTGAACTAGTGAAACGTGAGATGATGAAACTCAACACGGATGAAGAAATATTACAATGGAATGAAACAATTCAAAGCCAGTCAGATCCCATATCAGTCTTCCTTTTTGTCAGGCTCATCAATTGCAGCCAATCTTTCTACGAGGGGAGGATGAGAATAGTGATAAGCAGAGTACCAAGGATCTGTATTCATAGCTGACAGATTTTCTTCCTGAAAAAGGCATGAAATAACTATACTTCAGTAACCTGCACATTACTAGTATTTTATTACACTACGTCGGTATCCGTTTTAACTAAAAGCTACCTTGCACAAATAATGTCAGTTATCAAACATGAACCATCATGGAACTCAAGAGTGAAGAAAGTAGGGATATCAACACTTGATGAAAGGAAAATCATGAATCATATGCCGTACTTACTAATTATTACTAGAAATATTTGGCATGAAGAAGAAGAATAGAGTGGACTTGTAATTGACAGAGAGTATGAGAATCAAATTAAAAGAAAGTCAAAATCACTAGAAATTCACCTGCAGCTTCACTAGACCAGAGCGCAAAGCAGCTCCATAGCCAAGCTTTTTAGCAAACGCATCAGCCTACAGAAATAAAATAGAGTATTATTAAATATCAATCTAAAGAAGATTAATAAAGAAGGGGGGGGGGGGCAGAGAGAGAGAGAGAGGGAGATGCTAAACTTGAAAACCAGCATCCACTGCATCAAGAGGTTACCTGAAATTCAAATGATCGGCTTACAAGATTGAGAGCAAAACTTACAAGGTGTTGGATTGGTATTACAGTATGCTGCATATGACAAGGTTGAAGAAAATAGTCAACAGCTCTATGGCAAATGATTCTTTTCCATTACATAATAAAAGAATAACAAAGTAACAATTATTAGCCTTCAATCTTATCTACATGAAACAGATTAAACAATGTCTCCACTGCCTTGATAAGAGCTTAATTATGCTGATAGAGTACATCCCATTATTCGACTAGGCATTTCAACTCAAAGTACATCATTTTGATATTTTAGTACCTGAAATATGATAAGGCCGATTAGTACTGGCTGTACATCAAACCCAAAACTTCGGAAAAGGTCAGTTGAATTCCTGACCAGAGTATAACCTCCAAATTGCAAAAATGTAAGAATCTGCATTTCAAAGGAAGAACGGAAAAAAAAAAAAATCCCAACATCAAGATAAAGTTATGGCACTAAACACTAGTCAGTGAAGTGAGAAATTGGAAGTATCACTTCAAATTGAATATGACAAATCTGGCATAACATGATGATGAAGCCAGTAATAGATCATGTTCTAAACATTAAACAGAATAAATGGCTATTTTTGCAGCTTAGGAAGTTGACTTGTGGCTCATTAACAAGTCTATTATCCCATCTTTGTTACATCTATCAGTGCCAGACTGTCAATATGGGATCATCTTGCTGCATGAGCACTATCATAAGGTTTGATGTTTCAACCTCAGAGCCTAAAGTAACTGCAAGCTAAGTAGCCAAAAACACCTAAACAAATTTTTTTTGAACCTACGAATACAAAAAATTATTTTCTAACAGAATTACTATCATCAATCATGTTTAATGACACCCTGCTGTGCCACGATAATATAAATGAAGAGTTGTGTACTATAAGATAGTCCTAAGATGGTGCTTATTTATCCAAAGAAAAAAATAAATAAACAGTGCATGGAGTTTTTTTTATTTTCTTCAGAGAAAAAAGCTTGCAAGAGAACAACCGCAGCATACCTGCACAGCAATAAAGGAGTACATAGTATGGTTAAGCTTCCAATGCCCCAGCTCATGAGCAATAACAGCTACAATTTCCTCATCATTTTTGCACTGCAAAATAATACCTCAATACATAAGAGCTTTCAAAAGTGTTAAGGGAGCATCAACTATACAAATAATAAGCAGATAATTTATCATTCTGCACAACTCTTTTTATAGATTGGACAAATGCTTTCTGCAGCAGTTTTCCATGTTGAGTTAAAATGAGTCCTCAAATGAAGACAAGCATTATGGAGTTACATATAAAGTCACATATAAGCAATCAGTTTGTTTGCTGAGATAGAAAATCTACTAGCTTAGGCATTTGAGATATTACAAAATAAACTGAAAGTCTCCTAAGATTGTTGGACAATATGCCCATTTTAAAAGGCACAATTTACTGTAATACACAAAACAGCCCTTGTGTTCTACAGGAAAAGAAATAAGGTTGAGAATTGAAAAGAGATCAACTTTGGACAGAAGATTAGAAGACAAGATTCTATTCACTTTATAGTTACTGCTCCATGAAGATAATCACTCAGAATTGCTTCAACAGTAATCATCACCACTAGGTTTCAAATCAAGACCTAAAATATTTTTTGGGGAGGTCCTATGTGCTTCAGAATGAAGAAAATTATCAAGGCACACAGGCAATAATATCAACCCCTCAACTGAATAAAAAAGCCAAGAAGTTGATATGTTGCAACTATTATTAAAGAAAGGAAATGACAAACATACGATACAACAAAATATTATTTATTATTAGATCCATACCTGCTGAATCAACGTGTCATAAAGGACAATACGCTTATTCTTATAGAATCCATACATATAGGCCTGCATGATATCAAAAACGATGAATCATAATCAGTCTCAATGTGATTGAAGTTACGAATATTATCATATTGAAATAGAGATAGTTTGTTTGTCTAAACGTTAACCAATTCACCATAATACTGTTCCTAGTGTATATAGCAGCAATGTGTCTTTAAAGTAAGAAGAATGAAATCCTACATGATGGAATATGAAAAAATAAATATACAAAGATTATCAAGTTTATACATCAAAATGGTGTACAGAAGAAAAAGGCATCCGGAGAGAACCTATAGCTGTACTATCAAGAGCTAAATCCTTACATTGCTATGGCTTGATCTTGTGGATCCATCAACAACAAACAACTTCTTTAAAGGAAAATTGAGAGACGAAGCAAGTTGCTCAATCTTAAGCCTAAGCTCTCCTTCTGGAAGCTATTTCTCATAGCATCACACCAGAGCAAAACAAAAATCATTACAAGAAAAAAAAATGCTTGAATGAAAGTAAGACACAGTGATTTTGAAATACTCACAGGGGTGAACTTGTTAAAAAGTGGGGCTATCAGAACAGGGTAAAGTGTCATCATCACCAGGGAAAGGACAAACATAAATGCCCAAAGATAGATAGCCAGATATGGACCTCCTTTCTGCAATCACGAAATTAAGATTCACCATAATGAGAGAAGGATGACATGATAACGAAAAGATCAGAGTAAATAAGATTGTAAAAATTAGTTAACTCGAGCTAACAATCACTCTGATTATTATAATCAGGACCAGTAATAATCTCCAACAGAGACCAAATGCAGAAAAGTAAACAATTTTACCTGTACTATCACAATAATAGCAGAAACAATGGGTGGACCAAGTACAATAGCAAGACACATTCCTTTGATAAGGTCCCTAAAGAACAACCATATAGTTTGCTGAAAACAGATGAGAAAATAGTTAGGAACACCCAGATAAGTGTAATCTCAAATTATATAAATTCCAAAACAAACGTGAACAAGGACACAAAACAGTATAGGGAAGAGATTTAGCCATTAAATACAAACTTTGTTGAAACCATGTCGGGCCTCAATCACGAAAGTTGAATAGAGAGAAAAGGGTAGGTCAGTGATCTGCATAATAAAGATTGCAAGATAAATGGTCAATGCTATTGATCAGATTATTAGAGGCATACCACACACAAAGAGTACTTGCAATTATTCAAAGTAATAATTGTAATAAAGGATCAAGAAGACAAAGGAAATATCATGAATTCACCTGTGACCATATCATAACACCAGCCAAAAATGCAAGGGTGTGCAGTATTTCATTCTCTGTATTTAGACCAACTAAAGGCAAGAAATTTCCTGATTTCTGCAGTAAATAACAATTAATAATACAAAAAAGATAGTGAAAATCAACAAAAGGGAGGAACAACTAATCAAACACCTAACTACTCACCTTCCAAAACCAAGGCAATATGCCAAAGAACAAAATTGCAGAGTCCATAAAGATTGTTACAAACTCATGAACAAAATGGAAGTGGCTGAAATTCAAGAGAGAGGTATCACAGATAATGTCAAGTTAAGTTAAAAAGGAAGCTTGATTGTCCCCTGATGATGTTAAGTCTTGTAAATGATCAATAGAAACAACAAAACCAACCTCTTATCAAGGCTATAGGCCCGAGACTTTTCAAATTTCTCTTGGCTGATTACTCCTTCCAATGTTTTTGGAAGAGTTGGCAGTTTGAGAACAGCATGTTGCCGCAGATCCAGATAAGTTTCAAAGAAGTACATTAATATCATAAAACCTGTAAACAATAGAGGTTAAGTTGGGGGAGAAAAAGAGACAAGAGAGAACTTTACAAACTCTAAATGACATAACAATCATGCTACAATGAAGCATAATGAGCCAAATTTCTTTAAAAACATAGATAAATGAGTCATTAATAAGTCTCAAAATCTACGCAACGTACTTCTCACAACAAATACCTTAATAAACAGAAGAAGTGAAAGCCAAACAGACTGGATTGCACAGAAATGCAAGGAATGAAAATATATTCAGAAATTGAAAATTTTTGTATTACAAATCATTGGACCCCATAACCAATAAGTTATATTCAGTTCAACAATCAATTTCAGGCAACAAGACGTGCCTAAAGATTCAGAATTGTCCTTTTACTTCTGTTCCTCAGGTTTTTAGCAACCAACAGGATAACAAACGGTAAAGAAATAGATGCAAACAAAATAAACATACACACATGATCATCTCTAAAAATAAGACAAGATCAAGAACTCAATACATAAAATGCCTCAACATGTTGTAAATGCAAGTTAACATATTTTGACTCCTTCATAGGAAAAGCTTCTTTATCACAATTGTACAGTTACTTGTAACTTGCAAGCTACTTGGTTGATCAACCGCGTCCCCTTCCATCAACAACTAAACAGAACATTTTGCCAAATTTATTAACATAATTTAACTAATTTCGGCATATATTCTTTACCTTTTACACATGTAAAAGAAAAGAACTAGAAAGATGGTTAAAATCTAACTTACAACACCTAAAATTTTCAATCACTAACAATCAAGCAAACAATTTAATCATATGCATGGATATTAATCGAAACTAGAAAATTAATAGCATATTCTAATTAATCTATAAAAAAATAAAAAGGAAAAAAAAAGAAAAAGAAGCGCTTCGTAGTTCATTTCAAAAACCACAGGAGAAACTTACAGATAGGAAAAAACAAAAGAAACCAAAAAGGAAAATCCCGATGACAACGTAAACCTTGAACAATTAAAACCCATACCAATTTTCTTTTAAAGAAAAAAAGAAGCAGGAAATTTTTAATATCGTGAAAAATAGGGAAAAAAAACAAAGATCAACAAGTTTTAACAAGAAAAGTAAGATTAAATCTGGAAAGTGAAGAGATAGATTCAAGCTAAGAAGGGAATAGAAAAGAGAAGAGCGTACAAACAACAGCTTCCATGTACGGAAACGCCATTTCGTGTCGATGATGAATGCAGAGTCGAGAGAGAGAGAGTGCGTGGAGGGGTTTTGCTACTCTCTTAGTCTCTTCGGTTAATATAGATGGTTAGACGGGTACGGGTTTTAAAACCCACATACCCGACTATCTTTATCCGTTTGAGATAAACTAAAATAGGAGACAGGAGTACTTAAATTGCCTAATAAAAATTTATAATTGTAAGAATATTTTGTAATAATATAATAAGGAAGAAAAAAGAGAAAAAAATTTGTGGGGAGGTTGGTTATTGACTTGATAAAAATTCAACTGAATTTAAATATTATTTTATTAATTTAATAAAATTTGAAGTTTAAATTCATTCGTAATCTAAAAAAATTTTTAAAAAAATCTTTGAATGCATATGCTGTATGATTGTAAGGCTATAGGAAGAAATTCAGCTACAATTCATCAAATGATTTTAGAGTGAAACATTTGATTCTGAACAGTTCCTAGCTCGATGATTGTGTGTATATTATTTCAATAGATGGGTCTGTTGCTTCAATTATTGTTTAGCCTCAGGCTTGATATTGAGGGCACACTGTGCTGAAGGTTGAGACATCATTCATTAGGAATCCTTCAGCTCTTCTGATCATTTCCCATCAAAGGGTATTCATGGCTCGATTCCCTGCCGCTTATGGGCCATTATCCACTTATTCTCTGTCATGGTTGGTAACTTACATGATCACATCTGCTCCCGTAGACATGGCTTTTAAGCATGGTAATATTAGCTAAAAAACAACCAGGCTTCCTTGCCCTTGCATGTAGAAAAGACGTAAGCTCGCACAATTATGGCAGGAACCTAAACCGATCAACCGGTGTTTCGATTTTTAAGAAGGGGAATAAAGTACGTGACAATCACAGATTGGCTACAAAACAAAGTGCATTACAGCCGCAGGAATATGTCTATTGAATGCCTATAGGAGAAGCAATATAGCAATATGGCAGGGATATACAGGTCCCAAACAGGCTTCTTTCCCTTGTCTTTTACAAACTTTCTAGTGTAGTAATGCCTGCTTCTGCATGGTTTGCCTGTCTGAATACTTTATAGATTACTATGCAGGTGACAACTTCCGACAATTAGAAGCTCCACAAGGCCAGCATAAGTTTCTTCCATGTTCTTCTGTCAAATTTCTTGCCCTGTCATATTCTTTCTGAGGAGAAAGGTTCATCATCTCTGCAAGGAGGATGAGCTAAGAGGTTCTTCAGCTGTTTTTTCTCTTAAACCGGAAACCCCGAGTAGGCCTCAGAAGTTGCTTCAGCAATGCCATTTTGGGAACGTTCCAGTGCTCCACGTGCCTAAAAGATTCCATAAAGAACTTGATAAGATAGAAAGGTAATCAGAAAACAGTAACAGAAGAGCATCTCCATTTCTCTTCATTACTTGTTACCTGCATACTTTTCCAGATTGTGCATCAAAATAATACTCTGTATATCCAGTAGCTGCAACATCACAGAATCTTACAAGATAAGCAGGTATGTGGAATTTATATTGATGTAATGCCTTCAACATCTATGACCGTTAGGAAGGCTTTGCAATCCTATGTAAACTCATTAATATTGGTGTTGGGTTTAGGGTCACATACCAGAAAGAATAGGTCTCCACGGAAATGACATTACGCAACTAAAACGCCAGTGTCCCACTCCCTTGTTCTGCAGTTCCATGGATAACAACATAAAGAAAAGTTCTTCATTATCAAATTACATAGAAGATGGTAACAAGTAAAAGCCAAACAGGAATTCCATGATTATAACTTAGCCAATTCACCTCAAAGTCCTCCCACTTCATAAGTTTCATATTTGACTTTTCAATAAGAGATCCAAAGTTTGTGCAGTTCCTTTTGAAACGTTGAAGCCCTTTGAAGGAACCTGCTGGATCAGCAAATTCACAATTCTCCTCGTATGCGTCAAGTGTAACTTGACCTGATTTCAACAAAAAGGTATTACTACTTCCTCCCTGGATAATGCATGAAGAACATCAAATTGCACAGACCAAGCAAAAAAGACAAGTATGTTAAACTAAAGTCGAGCGCTGGCATGACCAAAATATATGTAGTTAATTGCAAAAAAAAAAAAAGGAAGAAAGATTTTGAATGGATTTATCGAGCCTTGATTTTCATGTACCAGTGACAAAATATGATCTTTCAAAGTCATCTTTGATGGTTTGAACGACTGCTGTACGATCAAAAGCTCCTGACCCATCTATGTCAAGCTTGATATTGCTCTGGGCACCTTCTTCAACATTTGAACGTGATCGGAGAAAGGAAGCAGCAATCCCCAAAAGCTCGGAGCCATACCAGGCTACCTTGAGAAGAGCATTTTCGGGTACAGATTCTTCTGCTGTGGGTAAATTGCTCTTGGAATTTTCTCCACTGCATCTAATTCTATAGATTTTGTGCCCATAATTTGGCCGGAAAATGATGCACTGACGCTGTGAGTTAACGTGGGGAGTGATGGAAGCAAAGAAAAGAGTGGCTGCCATTTTGGTTTTGAGGAGAAGAGAGCGCTATTGGTAAAGGCTTCTCCCGCTGTTTCTTTCAAATATCTTAGTCCTCGATGAACGATGGCCACAGAAACATTTCTAGACACAACTTCTTTTCCATTGTCTGAAACCAGAAATACGAAAACGAAAACGAAGTAGCACGTATCTACGACAGCAAGCAGACTGCCTTTCAATTCAAACCACACAAGGCAATGGACCCTGGGCTTGGTCGCTTGGTTTCCGTATTTAGGCTTTAACTCCACGGGCTGGCCACTGGCGTTGGTACTTACACAGCCGGCCATGAGGACTCATGACACCTAAGTCGAAAAACTTGAAATCATGCACTTCAATGTAAAGAAAGGTAATGTCCCGAGCTTATAGAGATTGACAAGACAACCAATTATACGACACAAATGAAAAACAAGTCCCCAGCATCGGTGTGTGATGATGCTTGTCTCAAAATTTACTGAACATAAGCATAATAAAAAATTTTAAAAAAAGGGAGCCACTCATGACTCATATCTATCATTGTCAATCTGTATTCTGTTCCATGTCTCCCCGCTTGTACGTTTGATAGCATCGTTTACTTTGTCTTACTCAACTTTGTAAATGGAGATGCATAATTTTAGAGTCAATTGATACATGGATTGCATTGGATGAAAAAAAGCAGTTTTTCCAGGGTTCATGTCAGCATATCATCTCAATAGCAGCAGGTAGAATAGACAACTTCCTTGGAAGAAATCCTAAATGTTCCCCATCAGACTGAATGAAAATGCTGCCACTGCTTGAAACGTCATCTACTTCGATTGTATATACACTGCAACAAGAGAAAATAGCTTCAATGGTATGCAACTACATTGAATAACATCTCTTAACATTTGTCAGCTAAAAAACTAAATGTCATCAAGCTCCAGTTCAAATTCAACAGATGATATAAAATCCTACTTTTAGTAACACAATAATTCATGGAAATAAAACATAATGGATGGCTGCAGGAAGCTTTAAATGCCCTGCAAAGGTTTGAGGACAAGAAGGGTTTTGGACCATCAATGCCTTGAGCTTCTTTGCTCCTATCATCTTAGCAATTAAGACCTTGATCTAGTATTTAAATCTTTTGCAACTCCAGTATATTTGAGGGTAAAACCATCTAACCAGAATGGTGCCTAAGAGTTTAGGAGCAGAATAAATCCAACATGACAAAAGTATGTTAGAGACTATCTCATTCTAGAGTAAAGATTATGAACAATTGCTCATTTGAAAGAGAAGCCACCTAAATAAGGAATGAAGACAAAATACCAACAAAAGGGAAAGGGCACTAAAATAATGCAGTAAGGAATGGTGCCTACTTTCTTGAGGTCACATTTTTCAATGACAAATGTGTCCCCTTGTATAGCTTGTGCAGTTTTAGAATGAAGTCATACCACTTGAAGCCCTGAAGAATGACAGCCTGCAAAGTATAAAACAAAACTTAAACAAACAATCATAGCACCCCAGAATTAATAAATACTAGAAATCACAGTGAGATGAATGGAAAAACTATTCCACCTCAAAACTTCCACTGCAAAGATCAGCATTTGGTGTAATTTTCATGCCACCGCCAAAGTACTTTGCATTTCCAATACAGAGGGTTGTCACTTGAGAATATGTTTGCCACTCACCCTCGTTCACCTGTATGTAAAATTAATTTTATGAAGTCAAAACTCTTAAAGCTGTCATGAGAAAATAAGCATGATAAAGGGTACAACATAGCCTAATGGATCCGAAGATAAAATAAAAAAAAAAACTTTTAGAAGTGGAACTGTTACTTTTCAGATCCCTAAAAATGCTGACCTTGATTCTGAGGTCCTGGTTACGGTGCCCAATAAAGGCTTGCAAAGCACCAATAACATAGCACAAGTTTCCAAATTTCTTGTAGATTGAAGCATAATAACCGGCCTTTGCACTCCTGCAAAATTCCACAAAAGACAGCAGTGAGGCTAGTAAAATGAACTTATGTTTTATCAAGGCTTAATTCTAAAAATGACCAAGTTAACCTTACAGATGGATATCAGCAACATTTATGAAATAATGAGATCCTTCCCCTTCTCTGCTAATGACACCAACATCGATTCGTGATCTCACCCCTACAAAACAGCAGCATCAGCAAATCATAAAAAAAGAAAAAAGTGTCTCCAGTTTGTATTTACTAAAAATTAACACAAGGGGAAAAAGGATCCAGAAAGGGCATGTAAATACCTCTAGCAATGTGTTCTATGGCTTCACAAGGATCATTTTTCCTGAGAAAAATAGAACAATAAATACTTCAGACAAAGCAATAATATCATAAAAGCTTATAGCAAATTAATCTAGACTGGATTAGCACAAACTAACCATCCCAATGTTCAGGCGAAATCTGCCCCAGTCCCCAAGGGAATGAGCTGCAAGAAGGGAAAATGTTGTTATATTTTCCATGGGGAAATGCGAAAAAAAAAAAAGAAAAAGTGATCCAAAAAGATTACTAGCTTGCAAGTGAAGATAAAAGAGCAAGAAATACAAAAATTCAAGATTATCATTCATCAGAGCCTAACAACAATCCTTACAAAAAGAAAGAGGGAAAAGAGAGCTTAATGGGAATTCTTACTCCAAGAGCAGTTGAACGAGCAGCCTCTTTATTCTGATTAGCAACAGGTTTCCCATCCCAAAAGAACCCGTTAACTACCTGCTTATCACAATCCAAAAAAGATGTCAATTTATCACATGCTCTTCTAAAGAAAGTATGCAAAAAAAAAAAAAAAAAGGGAAGAAAAATAGATGATACTACAAGATCATGGATGGTATATCAAACATATTTGATCATATACACTAAAATAAATAAAAAAAAAAATCTGCACCTCATGAAGAGTTCCATCACCTCCAACTGCAATCACAGCATCAGCACCCTCCCTTATAGCCTGCAAACCATTATCCCTTAACTTACAAATATATAGAGCAACTCTTAACACAAACTCTTCCATAGGCAACCTAAACCAAGTTCAATCTCGTTGTCAGAATTGAAAAAAAAAATGTAAAAGAGGCCCTTATTCCTACCTCCCTAGTTATGTCAATTGCATGTGAAGGACCCGAAGTCAAAGATTCGCATATCTGCCACAACATACACAAAATATTCTCATTAATTTCAAATGATAAGCTAACTTGGTTTAAGCAAATCATATCTGTAGAGATTTGGAACAGATGCTGGAAATTTCACCCAAAAAAAAAAAACAGAACACAGTTTGAACTCTCATCTGAGTGCTAAAAGACATCGTCAAAAGAAGAAAAAGGAATTAATACCAAACGGCATCTAAGAAGAAAAGGCCGATGAGCAATAATTAATCGAAAAAAGGAAAAAGATAACTCACGTTACAATCACTACCGAGGCGAGATTGGAGATATGGGAGCATTTTCTTCCACTCTTTACCGGTTCTCCCATTAGCACCTGCTTCAAATTCACAATGCAAACAAGCGTAAGAATTCGGGAGGGAAAACATTTTCTCGGAAAACAAACAAAAACAGTAAAAAGACAGAGAAAACGGAATAAAAACCTCTGGGGTTGACGACGAAGACGAGATCACGACGGCGGATAGGTGAGGAGGAGGAGCCACCGCGGAAGACGGAACGGTCGGAGGACAGATCAGGAGCTATGGGATTCTCGGCTCTCATTACCACAGGCTTTGCCATCAAAAAGCTTGCACCAACAGATGCCACTGTGTAATAATAATAGCAAACCGTATTCGATTCATAAGGCACCTTTGTAAAAAGAGAGAAATTTAACGTCTTTTGATTATGCTTAAATGATATAATAAATTTCTAAGCAAAAATTATATAATAAAACTATTTTTATAAAAAATTGCAATTTAAAAATAAAAAATAATTATATACATATATATATATATATTAAATTTTGAAATCTGTATGATGGTCATTAGAGTGTAATTGAATACAAGACTATTAGAAACTCGATATAAATGTTTGGTTTTATTTTGTATGTATTAAAAACGATGTTGCATTTTTTATATCACAAGATTTGATAATTTATGTATTTATTTAATATAAAATATTAATAATTTATGTATTTATATTATATTTTATATAAAAATTAAATATGTATAAATATAAAAAATATAAAATATAATTTTTTATTTTATTAAATTTATTTATGATTTTTATTAAAATTTTAAATCTTATTATTTTAATATTATATTATTATATTGTATTTAAAATTTTCATATCTTCGCATCTTAAAAATGTTGGAGAAACAATAAAAGAAAGAAAAAAAGCTAAAGCTCTCACTAATTTAAAATATATATTTCGAAATTTTTTATAATAAAAAAATAATATTTATCTCACCATATACATCATAATAAAGATTTAGATTAATGTTACAAATAATTTTTAAATTATAATAAAATATTTAATATAATATTTAAAATTTAAAAATTTATAATATAATACTTAAATTATAAATTTATTAATTAATACAATATTTAAAAATTTATTTATGTATCATATGTTATCATTTATAATTAATAATATTTGAGGTAAATATCATATTAAATAATAAATTTATAATTTAAATATTATATTAAATATTTTATTTTAATTTAAATACTATTTATATCATTAATGCCAAATATTTTCCTTTCGTCATTGCCAATGTTTATGGTTCAATAAGTAATCCTTTGACTCTAATCTCTCGAGATAATTGAATTATGATAACTGTTGAGGACTGACGGTAAAGGATTTTGCTACCATCCCATCAATAGAGACCAAAAGATCAAATTTTTTTAAGGAAATTTGGTTGAGTTAGTAAAAATATTATATTTTGTTATTACAGCTTAAATCCGATTTATGTTGTCATTAGTTTTATAGGTAGACAAAATGTAGATAATTTTTCATTAAAATTTAGATTTATTCTGATTATGAAATGAAATAATTTTTTATTTAATTTTTTCATAAAGAAATTTTTTTATAAAAAAACAGATCCAAAAACTTCAGCTAATAAAAAATAAGTAGAGATAATTACGGATAAATTTTATGCATTATTAATTATTATTAAATTATTTAAATCTTAATATTTACAATAAATTTATATTTTTAAACTACAAATTCTTTAAAATATATATAAATACGGATTAATACGGCCAACTACCAAGATTTTACCAACAGCGAAACAAAGTGATTTTAGTTTAATTTATTGTTTGGTTACTGACAATAGAGATAAACGGCATTCCCGTCTTTGATATTATCAAGTATCAGAAATATACGGGACCCGTTTTTTTAAAATTTTTTACTGTTTTAATTTTTATTTTATCTTATTCACCAAAAAAGTTTTATCTTCCCACGCGCCTTAAGAAAATTACTACAAGTAACTAAAATCTGTAGGAGAGGAGATCCCAGTGAAATTCGAGCGTGTAGAATACGAGAGATAAATTTCTCGTTGGATTAGTTGAAATTTTCTAAATTTTCTTTAAAAAATTAGTTTTTTTTTTGTTTGTTTAGCGAAGTGAAAGGTGAAGCACGTCAATCCGCAACAGTCAACAGTAAAGAGAGAGAGAGTGAGAGAGAGAGAGACAGCCAATGCCAGTCTCTTTCAAAACTTCCTCTCTCCAACAAAAAAAAAAAACACGCAAGTTGCTTTCTCTTTCTCTCCCGTCGGTTGATTGAAAAAAAACGCTAAAAAAAAAATTACAGATCGAAACCCTAACTTTCTCTCTCTACTCTCTCTCCCCCTCCTCACTTCCTTCGATCCAGGTAGCTCGTTTTCAATTTTATTTTCCTATAAGAACGAAACCTAGGTTGATTTTGTATGAAGTACCTTAGCTTAGCGCAGAAAACCTAGAAATTTATCTCATTTCGATCTTAATTAGGGGCTTTCGTTGATTCGATATTTGGAATGATTTAGCTCTCGAATCTGCTTAGTTTTGTGTAAATATGCGTTTGGTCCCAGCTCCAAAAAAAGGATCGTGTTTGGTTTAGGCAATTCCGATAGAGAAGCTTTGGGCGGCGTAATATTGTAATATTTGGTTAGTGTTTAGGGTTTTATTGTATGTTTTTTTGGATCAAAGAATGGAATAGCCTAATATTTGCTTTATCTTCATTTATAGTAGCTGGGGGCGTTTTGAATTAGCTTTAGATTTGGTAATTAATGATAGTTAAGCTGTGATTAGGAAACATTGAAGAAATTGGATGGTGATAAGCTAAATGGGAATTGCTTATCAGATTCAAGATTTTTAGTTATTGAATAGTGAATTTCGTGGGAGCAGCTAGAGTTAAAGAGTATTTGGTATATATTCGTCTTTAAATTTTTGCAGAAATGAGCTTAGAAAATGAAGAACAACATTCATTACATCAGCCAGCGGATACCAGCAAGGAATCTCAAAAGTAATCACTTCTTTCATCTGAATAATTATTTATTTTAATGCTTTGGTTGTGTTTATGGTTGATTGACGCTGATAACCGATTTGTTTTTTTAATGATTCAGGAAATTGAGGATTTCATATACCAGAGACCTTTTGCTGTCATTGAGTAAACTGGATGTTTGCAAGAAGTTACCCCCAGGATTCAATCAATCAATTTTGAGGTGAGATTCTCTTTTTGATGGTCATGGATTACGTATTTTGTAAAATCATGAAGATGAAAAAGTCAACCCTGTTCTTTTGGTATTCATTGTATTATTTTATGGTTGGAGCAGTGAATTCGAGGATACATCACAAGATCGGCAAAGAATTCCTGGCCCCTTGACGGCTTATAGGCGTAATGAATATGGTTCATCACCACCTACAAGAGGGGATTCAGGTAACTATTCTCGGGGAATTAGTGGACGGTGGGACAGTCGCTCTAGTGGAAGGAGTGATAGAGACAGCGATTCCCATTCTGATTGGGACTCAGGTAATGTTTATGATTCTTTTATTCTATCAATAGTTTGATTTATGTTTTCTGCTCACATGGACTGCTTTATTCATAGTACTTTCTGTTAATACATGTGGTAATTCACTTCATTGCCTCGAGGATGTTCAGTAAGTTTGTCCTTGGGGCTTTTATCTACTTCATTTATGTGTTGTGTACAGCAACTGACAAATTGTATTATGTTGTAAATTGAATGACTCTATTGATATGCAGATTCTGGAAGACGCTATAGTAATCAATCCCAGCGGTCTTGGCAAGGTCCCGAGCATGATGGGCTTCTGGGGAGTGGTTCTTTTCCTCGATCATCTGGATATGCAGCAGGGACAGCAACTCCAAAGTATCGAGCTAATGATCAATACCATCTAAATAGGAGTAATGAGCCATACCATCCACCCCGCCCTTATAAGGTACTCGTTTGCTTTTATTGGTCATTTGCAGACAAAATTGGACCAGTACCAAGATAGCAGTTATATTCATTTTAATGTAGAAATGCATATTCAATATTGTGCTAAAATTATATCTACCATGATTGCAAAATGATGCACTGACTATTGAAATACTGTTTTAATAGATGTCATTTATGTGTTGCTGATTTTTTTCAGGCTGTACCTCATTCAAGGAGGGAAACAAATGACTCGTATAATGATGAAACATTTGGTTCCAATGAGTGCACTAGTGAAGATAGAGCAGAAGAGGAAAGAAAGAGAAGAGGTAGGTTATCTGTTCTAGAAGACTGTCTGCTGATTGTTGTTTATTTTGTTTGTGTATTATCTTCTTCCTCTACTCTGATTTTGTTATCTATAAATCAAAGCTAAAGCATGATGACTTTCCCTTTTAGCTTCATTTGAGTCATGGAGGAAGGATCAACAGAAAGCATTCCAGGAGAAGAAGATTAATCCAGAAAGGCGTAAAGATGACTTCGATATTTCAGAATTGCTAGTGGACTCCAAAGATGATAAAGGACATCCAAATAAAAACAAGGAATCAGATGAACCTATGCCAGCGTCAAATATTGATTCCGAAAAATCTTCTCTTCCCTCACAAACCCCTGCATCCAGACCTCTTGTACCACCTGGTTTTGCGAGCACAATTTTGGAACAGAATTCTGGAACCAAAACTTCATTGCACTCTGACTCTTCACAGGTAACTATTACATTTGTTTTCAGAATTTAAAACAACCCTTATAATGTCGTTTATACCTTTTGGTATGTAATTTGATTGGAAGTGTCAATCATCAGTTCACAAGTTTACCTACTTTTTGCCTTCACATGATCTTGGATTGCAATTAGTTACTGAGACATTAATGAATGGTATCTCTTTGAAAGTCACTTATTGGAACTATAGATTTTATGAAGGTTGCATTGAGCACTGCTTTAAAGTAATATGTTATTCTTCCGTTATTTTTTGGCTAATATGTTATTCTTCTGTTTGGAATGCTGAAAGATGGGGTATTCTTAGCGGGTGATTGTTGCTTGCATGTGGTTTTCTCTCGGTAGTTGTACTTTGCATATATTTTGTAACTCAAAGCTGATGCTATTAGGAAAAAGCATGTTTCAAATATACTGATCGATGTTGAGTTTCTTGTTTGTCACACATGTTCTTTGCTGTTATACTTGATTAGTGATATTTCTTCCGTTATGCTTCTGTAGGTTGGGAGTTCTGAAATTGAGGACAGCCTTTCAGAGGCCAAAGGCAGCTTTCTGTTGAATGGGACTTCTGATGACCTTGCAGGCAAACAGTCTAAAAAGTATGCAGAAGAAACTTCGAGTGAGCAGCAGCTTGGAGATACAAACATTCGTCTCTCAGCCAATAGTAAGAGTGGGAAGGCTCTGAATTTCTCATCAGCTTTAGATAAATCTAATGAGGCAATTAGCATGAATTCTCAAATATACAAGAGTTCTAGTTTCTCAGAAGCCTTTGCAGCCCCAGGGAAAAGTGAAGTTACAGAATTTGATTCCAAGAAGCTGCTAGCAGATAAAATTTTGACTGAAACCAACCGGGATAGTTCAACTTCAATTCTAGACAAGCTTTTTGGCAGTGCTTTAACACCAAACGGAGGAGGCTCCGCTTATTTCACTGAGGTATTATTTTGATTTTAGAGAGGTTGCACACACACACATAGAAGACACCTATGCTGAATGACTTTAGTCAAATGATCATTTCTACTTCCTTAATGTAATTAAAACTAGTTTGTTCAATGAACTGTATATCTTATTTATGTGTGATTTATTTAGATATTTTATTTAATCTTTTCACATTCAATTTTCCCTGATAAAATATTTTAACATCTTTTAATATCTCTTGTTCTTTCTTCAGCCTAATGACAGCAAAGCAGATGAGACTTGGGCCCCTGACACTTCCCATTCTTCTAAGTTTGTTCATTTGTTTCTTGATGAAGGTTTGTTGGCATTTATAACAACTAATCTGGCTTTAAGTGAATTTGCTTAGGTCTCAAGTAATAAAATATGAGCTGATATTCTTCTTTTCATCTTGTCATTGCAGACAAGAAACCAATAGATGATCTCTCCGCTGGCAGGCCAAAAGACTTGCTCTCATTAATTCAGGGTGGTGAAAAGGGTGGTTATGTTTCTGATAAGATAGCTACCAAGCATGTAGCATCAAACTTTCCATTCCAAGTCTCTGAATTTGCAGACAGGAATGTTTTATCAAATTTGACATCTCCTGGAATTGTAAACTCTGAGCAATCATGGAATGTTAATGATGTTAATAAACCAACAGCAGTTCCAGCTGTCCTCACATGTGAGGATCTTGAAAAGTCAATTCTGTCAGAAAGCACTGAAAATGATCCAATGTTGCCTCCTGCTGTTGAAGGCTGGAAAATTCTTGGTGCTGAAAGTGAGAAGCAAGAAGTTAATCTCAATGATCATGCATCCCAGCACCTCCTTTTCTTGTTACAGAATAAAACAAGTATGAAAAATATAATATCATCTGCCAATCTAGACATCAGGTCTTCAGAAAGAGTACAAAATAATGAAACAGCAAGTGTTGACTCTGCACCTCGTGATTCAATAGAGGTGAGTGCAGAAAATGTTTCCAGTTCAGGGAAGAGTCTAACTCTTGAAGCACTTTTTGGAAGTGCTTTCATGAAGGAACTACAATCAGTTGGAGCACCAGCTTCTGTTCAGAGGTGCTCAATAGATTCTGCAAGTGATGTATTGGAATCTAACAGGATTCCCCTTCATATCACAGATGATAGTTTTCTTCCTTCAACAGTTCACATTGGGTCAAACAGGACTAAGTTTGAAACAAATATTTTACCATTTACTCAAAGTGAGCAGATTAAATCTGATGACATTGAAGAGCATTTGTTAGGCTATAATGATGCTCGATCTGCAGTGGATTCATCTCATCTCCGAGCTGAATTAGGGTCTAAACTTGGTGGTTTTGACGGATCCCCTAAAATTCGGCTTCCTGAAGAGGATAGTTTGATTGGCGTCGGTAATCCTGTGAAACTCCCGAACTTCATGGCTGGTAATGTAAAAGCAGAGCTATTGCCCTCCCAAGAGACACCGACCGATGTTGCTGAGAAACTAGCAGCTTTGAAGACTGTCTTCCGGGATCACAGACCTGTTATACAAGGGGAAGAAGCTCCACCTTTTCTTCATGGTCCCTATGATATTAGGGAGCCGGATATTCCATTTCATAACCAAAATTTCCGGCCATCTTCTCCACAGCTTCATCCTCGATTGAATCATGGAGGTCCTTTGATTCATTCATTAGATTCTCATCCTTCTAACATCAATTCCCAGGTTAAGTTCATGGCTCGAGAAGGCATCATCCATCATGATACCCCATCAAATCATCAATTTCCTGCAAGCATGCTTCGCCCTCCTTTCCATCACCCTAGCAGTGGACTAAGTGGATTTGATCCTTCAATGCATCATCCTATGTTACAACAAATGCCTATGCCCGGAAACTTCCCTCCAACCCACTTGCAACGTGGATTTCCGGGGGGTGTACCACTGTCTCATTCAAATAATCAGGTGACTGGTTTCATTCAGGAAGTGAATTCAATGCATGGCTTTCCGTTTGGACATGGTCACCAGCAGCCCCAGCCCAACTTTGCTGGTCTTGGAGTGCCTCCAGGTAAAGTACTTAATATATATCTTATTTCTTTCTCATCCTTACCAATTTCAGCTTTGTGAAGCCTGCTCACTGTATTTCATTCTTGGAAATGCCTACAATCGATGTAATGGACTGTTTTGTTGGCTTGAGGTAATTTAAGAAGTATGATAATGCCCATGCCAAAACTTGTTGCAATCATTGCGAAACGCTTATTTTATACCCCTATATGGCTGGAAGATTGAAATGCTAGAGGGACTTTTTCATGCTCTCATGTTGCTGCATCTCTTAGTATTCAATCAAGATCTAAATGGTTATCCTGCAAGTGAACTACTGTTACTGTAATAATTATGTTTCACGTTTCATATGCCAATAATATTAACATTTTTTGTTTGTTCTTCAGGTCATGACGTTGGCAGCGGGAGCCCTCATCCAGAGGCATTGCAAAGGCTTATTGAGATGGAACTCAGGTCAAACTCAAAGCAGATTTACCCGTTCGGTGCAGCTGGCCACAGTCAAGGGATGCATGGTCATGAGCTAGACATGGGTTTTCGGTATAGATAATGGCTTTTGGTTGTAGATTTGTCGTATCGCAATGTATTGAGTGTCTTTTGCTCAGACTTGCTACCCGGTGAATTGAGGATAAAGTTTGTTCTTAATTCAGGAGGGATCGCTTTGGGTCAGTCAGTGGAATTAAAATCATTATACATGAAACTGGCTTTTGGTTGCAATTGCCCTTTTTTTTTTTCTCTTAACGTTGAAGGGGCCAAAGGGTAAACAATAAATCACTTGTTTGGGAAGAGTGCGGAACTTTTGGGATACCAACACTTAAATAACATTGTTTGTTGAGCAATTGAATCACGTGTTAAAGTCTGATATAAAGACAAACAAGAAGCGGACTGAAGAATTTGGTCACCAGATAATTTCTGGCAAGAGACAAAAATGATCCTATTATCTTCAAGCACTTGGCCTAGTTTGAATTGAAGCCTACTTCCCAATTTGTAACCCCTTTTAGAGTTATTGTATCTAAGAAGAAATGATGCCTGTTATTTACATTATAATATACTTTTGAGAAAGAAAAACCCAGACAGAATACAAGAAACCAGTTGGTACTTTCACGTACCCTATCGCTTGAATCTAACCAGTGATCAATTTCTTTAAAAGAGTCCAACACCTTTTCACAAATCATGGGGAAGCTCGAGTCTGTTACCATTTGGCTGGACTCCACCATGATAATTTTGAACTTGAAACTAATCAGTTTAGCTATGATCTGAATTCTCCGACTAATGATCTGCACGTAAAAGAATTTAAGTTCCAAAATCTCTTTCTAACTTCTTCAGTGTTCAAAAAACAACAAAGAAATGGATATACAGGTAAGGTACTAGAAAGTTACTTACTATAAAACATGAAATTAGACCATGTGAAATTCCTGTCTGCAAAAGTAAAACCTTGAATTCGAACATTGGAAGGCCAGATTTAATATTACAGCCCTTCAGCTCTGCTCATAATCGATTTAATATACAGCAACGTGTTCCAATTAGTTAACTTGAACCAGCAAAAAGAATTACATGGATATAGAAGCAGATTGAAGGGTGTTATAGAATGCAGAGAATAGACAATGGAGCCAATAAGAGAATGATCGATACAGTAATGCAAACCCTAACTTCATTTCTGTATCAAAACCCCAGAAAGCAATTCTTACAGAATATACAGTGAAAAATTCAGAGAGCACTCAAAGCTCTATACATGGTAGCCTCTAACAGACTATTTTTGTAAGATATACACAAGGCACAAAAAAAGACATCAAGTATATTGACAAGTTATGCTATAGGCTGCCAGGTCCCGGCAAGATCATATCAACACTGCACATACATACATATATACATACATACACATCTGACTGCTACATCTTGTTAGCAAGTTAACCTGCTGTATCTTTTTCCTGCAACCTGGCAAACATGCTTTGGAATGAGCAATAAGCTGACAAGAAAACGATGAGGGCATGCACTGTTTCCGAAACACTGAAGTACCTATTATGCTGTTGGAACAGCACTAGCTGATTTATGAGTGTGAATGTCATTGTACGAACTACCAAGTTTAACACACTCAGACTCTGCCTCATATGTTGAAAGCAACCTTCTCTGCAATGATTTTATTACTAGTTAGTAAAGAAATATATATATTTTGACTAGATGACCAAAGGTTGTGTTTATCTTTTGGCATTAACCGGTTTTAGTTTTCTTTTGCAGAGAAATAATAATTATTTATTTAGCATGTACATGACAAGAGCTCAAAACTTAAAGCCAGAACAGGAAAGAGAAGCCAAGAAGTGGGACACAAATAATACTCAAGATGATAATGATGATAGTGATGGTGGTTTATGATCATAATATATCAAAAATAAGTGACGGTTATGATAAATTACTATGAAATAAACGAAAGAGTGGAAATAGTAAAAATAAACAAACATCTAATAAATCTTGAACTCCTTTGGAATTTATCCAAAGTGCAGACCCTCCAAAGCAGAGAACATCGTAGATATGCAAAATTCTAAAACAATATCACAGGATGAATTTTATACAAGAACATTAAAATGAAGGAAGGAGATAGAGTGATCAGTTCAGATTCAAACTTGAATGTGGTTTCATTATGTGCAGACTTCTCCATCAAAAACTGTTTTAGGCCTAAGAATTGAATCATAAAGTAACATATACTTTATAAGAGCCAACAATTAATATAAAAACATGCTGAAAACAAGGAACAAGAACTTACATGATCCTCAAACTCAGGGCTTGTCAAATTGACAGAGAGATTTCTCATCAACAACACCACCTGCAAAGAGGCAAATAAAGCACCTTGAGTGAACCATAAGCTAAAAAAGTGAGCATTTGACACCTCTATCTCCTCCACACACATTCCAGTTGAAAAAAAAAAAAAACTGTAGATTATTAACATCATTTAGGGTGACATACAGTTTCCAAATTTATTGGGTCCATCTGCTTCAACTTCTGCAAGTGCCCACTTGCACTGGGGTCAAATATACTGCCAATGAATCCGTACACCTGAGCAAAATCTGGCATAACTGCATCAAATAGAAAGCAGACTTATCACTAATGGGACAAAGGAAACTTCAGGATGTGATGACAGAAAAAATGAGTATCAAGAAGATTTTTTTATCAGGTATTCTTAATACTCCAGTGCTTGACCGACAACAACAAAACCAAGTGAATAATTCGCATTCAATCTTTTTGCTGGATTGAACTAGGCAATTCAATGTGCACAAGCAACATGTCCATCTTTTTTGATGTAAATAAGGGTGGAAAAAAACTAAAAAGTGCAGCAAGAGAATATAGAATAAGCTAGTAAGTAAGAACATCAAGAAACTGTACAGCAACAAAAAGCAAAAACATGGGAAGAATAAGATCAAACACTTTCCACAGTCAAATAAGTTGATTTTTTTTATCATGAGAAAGCTAGAATTCATCATGTAAGCATCTGAGACAACATGATCATTTTCTTGCAAATGGCGAAATGTGAATCTTATTGTAATAATAAACAAATCTCAAATAGATGAGACAAAAGTAAACAATGTTGAGTTTTTCAAGTGTAAAGTTAAGTGAATATGTCAAACAAATCAGAATTATCTTTTGATAACAAGCACTTAATTCAGTAATCAGCATCAGGTGTTAAAACCCTAGTGGCTGTACACCATAGCAGTTGATTAAGGTGCCGTGTAAAAATGCATTATTGATGCCATTATTTTCAAAAATTGCATGCACGGCAATATGGTCCAATGATGCCAGTATCAAGCTCGAAGTAGAAATAAAATACTAACCTCTAGATTGCTTCCCGTGATCTCCTTGGTCAATTGTTTCACCAAATGACCAAGTTCTGGGAGTGCTTTCATTACTGCTACTGTAACAAGAATTATGCACAATAGTTGGCCCAGCCAATACTGCTTCATCTAAAAACATACATGATCCATATGTTAGTATACTTTTAAGACTTAAGAGGAAGTAAAAAGGAGGTAAAAGCAGTGCAGAAACAATTAAAACCTTTAGTCACTTGAGGTACAGAGACAGGCGGTGCAGAGTTGTAACCCCAAGAAGACAAAGCTGCAGTGGGAACAGGATTTCCAAGCATTGATGATGAATCTATTCCGTACGTATAACCAGATTCAAGCAAGGCAGATGAAGACTGAAATGGTCCAGCAACTTGGGGTACAACAGAAGCTGTAACAGATGAACGAGTAACTGAGTTTCAATTCAAGATCAAGAATTACAAAAAAAGATACAGATGATATCAAAATGTTGGTTATACTGACCATTTTTGGGAGCCTTTTGTGGGTATGGATGAGCTGCTTTCCTTTTTGGTCGAGGGGGAGGTACATGTTCGCTTGTCCCATTTTTCTGAACCTTTAGGAAATACTTCTGTGCATGGCTACGGATCTGCCAAAAGCATCCATTAAAGTATTCAGTAAAACACATTGAAAACAACATATAGCCTAGTAGTAGTGAAAGATCTCATAACATCTTTTAAATTACCTGGATCACTGTCTTCGACCCAACAAATGCTTCAATCTTCTTCCAATCACGATCAAATCTAAAATGAGTAAGGTGAATAAAAAACACACATCAGCACCATGAGCCAGAAAGTGTGCATTGAAAATGTAAAACAGCAGACTTGCTCAATGTAGAAATACCTTGGGGGCTACTTTAAATTTTATGCATTCAATTAACTTAATCCCACATACTTGGATTAAAACTTAAAATCAATATCTTATTCCAGTTACTCAAAAACCAAATCATTTAAATAAATTACAAGCAAACGCATAAAAGTGGTAAAGGTACCAACAAAATGTAATCCCCCCAAAGCAAATTTTAACAAAAAATTTACATCACCTAAGTATATTATCTTCTTTGAATTACATCACCTCAGTCGAAATGAAATCGAAATTTTGAAGCTTTTTTCCCTTCCCACAAAATATTTCAGCACACCTAGCATATAAACTCTAAACATTACAAGCAAGCATTATAATTACAAATTCACCATTAATTAACAACCCCAAATTTAAAACCCTAATTTGCAGTTTAATCCCAATTAAAAAAGTAAAACAGGAAAAGAATTGATTTTGTCTGTCACTGCACTCAATTCAATTTTCCAACAAACCAAACAGTAGCTAAAATCAAACAAATAAAAAACCTAAATTTTATACGAAAAAAAAGAAATTAAATTTAACAATTTTACTGACAATTGAAGAGCTTCTAGAAACTTATCGTGCTCCTGCTCAGTCCAGCTCTCTCTAGACTTGGTAATAGTGTAAGGCTTCCGGATCTTCTTATTGGGATCCTCCGAATAGGCCATCGTATTACCAGCACAGGACGTGGACATGGAGGAAACAGCAGGAGGAGGATGAGGCGACGCCACCGTATTGGCAGGCGGCATAGAATTAAGACCAGGAAGACCCATATTCATGGGATCGAAAAAGTAAAACCCTTGAATCGGGGTAGGGTTCACGGACACCATAAGCTTGAAATTCCCAAACAGTAATTGGCAGTAAATAAAAGAGAAAACAATCTAATTTTGGATTTTAATTTCTGTTCCTGTCTTTGGCTTTGGTTTTCTTTTTGATATTCGTTCTTTCGAAAGTCAGACAGATGCTAGAGACGAGATGTGGTGAGGATTTGACAATTGAGCATTTTATATAGACCGAAGGGAGAGAATGAGTTTTGTTTTGTGGTGGGGGGAGAGGAAAATCAGAACTATGGATTTTACCTAACGGAGGTGCCGAGATGACCGTACACGTGGAGAAATCTGAACAATTATATAGATGGAGTAGGACAAGTGGCAAATTTTGTTTTATAAAATGGTTTTACTGAGTGTTGGCAGTTAGGATTCTCCACCGCCTCAGGGGCAGGTTTTACCGCCTTTGCACTGCCCGTACAGCTTGGATTTAACTAGTTAGGTATTTTTACTTTTTTACTGAAAAGTGAAATTTATTTTTACTTTTAAATATCATTTAATTTTTATGAAAAATAAAGAAAAAAAACTTTATCATTTATTGTTGTTATTTTTTTGGTATAAATTTATTTATTAGTATTTGGATTTGGTCAAAATGACACTTATATTTTTTTACATTTTTTAATTTATCTTAATAATTTTAGAAAATTAAGATAAATAAAAAAATCGTAGATGATTTTTCATGAAATTAAAGATTCAAATTATAATTGTTCTTCGTATTTTCTTCTTAAATTACTGGAGTTTTTTTTTTTAACTTATCCGATATTTGTGAAAGTCACCGTACAATTGGGATTTAGGTATGTTGACTAAAAAGTAAAATGTAATTTTATTGGATAAAAAAAGAAAAAATTTAGAATTAATTGGGTTTTTTTTTTTTTCTGTAAATCAATGTGATATGAAAAATGTTATTTCACTTTTATCCAAATATAAAAAATGTTATGAAACAAGACAGTGAATTGAATTCTTAAATTTTATTTTTTCACTTTATTCTTATTGGTTGAACCAAACCAAATGAATTTATAAAGGTAAAACAAATACCATTTTATGAAAATAAATTACAAAGTAAAATATGATATTTTTGGAAATTTAATAGTCCAAATTATAATTGTTCTTCATATTACCTTTTTTTTTTTGGGTTTTTAAAGCTTATCTTATAGCAGTCATGCATTATTTTATTTTACAGCTGCGCCCTTCATAGGAGACACCAAACTAAAAAAACCAAGTTGTGTTATTGAAGATGAAAATTCTAGACACATAGACCATAGGCAATAGACCTTATCCTCCACGTTGTTTAAAAAAATAATATCTGATTTTTTTTAATGTTTTCTTAAAGCTTACGCCTAGAATTCTCCGAAGCAACCAGGATTTTATAAAATACTCAATGGATTACGACGCGGATTTACCTTTAAACATAGCCAATTAGACGGTAACAAGTAAACGCTTCGTGTAATTTACCTTAATCGATCCCGTTACAGCCAATAAGGTTTGAACTTTGAATTCAGTCCTTTCAAAATCAGCAAAGAAGATTTGGTTTCAACGATTATGATTTAATGTTCAAAATAATTTTAAATATTAAAAAAAGAAAAAGGAAAATTTTAAAACTTTGATTTTTGGTATTTACTGTTATTGGTCTTCTCTTTCATTAGTCTCTAAGTTTTGAGATGTGATTATAAATTTGGAAAGGAAGAAAAATATAGAACAGAAAAGGAGTGCTTTATGCTGTAAATAATGGTTTCGTTGATGTAAAGCATGGATAATTGCACCGTAGTCGAACTGATGAGTATTGGGGCAGATGTTGTCCTAGAGGACGAGGGGTGGGGTTCGCATTAAGTCACGTCAGTCATGGGCCATTGACAAATTGTGTGGAACGAGACCGAAGTCAACCAAGGTTTTCTGACCGCTTCAGATTGTGGACCATGATCACACGTCTCATGTCCATATTTAGGCCTTCGGCTTTGGGCTCCCCCATTGATAATTACGGTAGAAGTGAGACGCCTGAGGCTTTGGGTCTTGGGATTTTGACCTAACCAACCTGCCACATACCAAACCCAACCACCTTTTTTTGTTGTTTTGTTTTAAATTGGAGGATGACGATTCACGAATTCAAATCTTGACAAACGAAAATGCAAAAACTCAGATGCAAAGCAACTATTGCATTGATTGATAAATGCAAAAGCAGTTGTTCTGGAGGGAAAAGATGGAAACCTTTCGCGTAAAGCACATTCATTACATCATTAGGCTCAACAAAGCCAGAATTGGAAAAGGCGAACAAAGCTGAGGATGCTTCCAAAGACCCAAACCATTAAATAAAAAAAAAAAGAGATAACAGAAGATCAAAGAATGCTTACATGCTGTTCTGGCAATTGGCAAATACAAACTCAGAAGAATTAAACAAAAAAAAAGAAAAAAGAAAAGTAGGCAACAAAAAGATAGCCCCCTAAATCTCTTCACAACCTAATCGAGCCAGCGAGTAACCCCATCATCCTCCCCTACAGCTGCCAGAATCTCTATGCGTACATCCAAAACTGCCTGCCATTTTAAGTAATGCAAGCAAATCAAAAAGAGAGAAGATAACAGAGAAAAGGAAACAAGGGGAAACAATCTACGGAGAGAAATGCCTATCCCATGGATTAGGGCGGTCATATACTATATAATTAGCATACAAAAGGTTAGCCCATTTCCAGAATCCTTCAAAAATCCTCTGAAAACTTGAAACCTTCAAATCCAGGAGGATTCATTATTGTCACCCAATACGTAGCTAATAGCACAAAATGATGAGGATTACAGAAATGATGAGAACTTACTGAAGGATTTCTACAATTGACCAGCCTACATTCCTCCAAAGGACCTTGCAGTGTCCAACTCTCCCAAACATCAAAGCTGTGACTAGCAAATACAAATTCCATTCTTCTATTAATCTGCAATGACAAGACAGAACATCAAAACCTGAATTCATCAGAAAGCACAAACTTAAAATGAATTAGAACAAAAGAGAAAAAAGATTTATTAATGCGCCAACTGTCTCTAGAAGCATTCTTATTTAATACCTCAAAGATACAAGAATTTTTTAGATAAATTGCAACAGAAAATCTGTTACTTGACCTAAGCTGTAGCTTTTGATCTAGCAACTTCAACGTATTTAAAGAGAACTGCAGCAGCAAAAACAAGAGTGCTCTTTTGGGATAAAAAAATAAAGCCATCATTTCTGGGATGATGATGTCATAGGAATTGCATTATTCTCATTATAAGCTAAATCATAACTACTCCCTCATAAGAAGTTTCAAAGTTAGATGAATTACCCAGGGAGAAAGAGAGATTTTTTCGCTCTAATTCAAAGAAAACATAAACCAACAACAGCATTATAAATTAGAGAATTAAAAAAAAAAAGTTAATTGCACTGGTCCATTAAAGATAAAAGGCTCTAACCAACTATTTTACAACTTCTTTATGGAACCACTTCATAGTGAAGTTTCTTGAGCTAATAGTTCAAGATTTTAGTGAAGTCATGCTTAGAGAAACACTATAACTTGTAAAAATGTAAAGTTACCTGTAGCAATTTCCCACCAGCAGCAAAAGAACGCAGACCAATCGTGTCCTGAACAACATGCATGAAAATTTCAACAATGCTTAGCCAAAGGCCCAGAACTATAGTTAATAAATACAAACCATGCACCATAACAATTTAAAGCAAAGGAAGAAAGTAAGGAACAACAGCAAAAGCCAAAAATTCCCGCCAACAGACCTTGCTTCTGTAGACAACAAGGAACTGTGCTGCAGGATCTCTTTTGGTTACATTAGACATGGTGTCTAGGAACCAACCACCACCTTTAACTCTTTGTCTGGACACGTGGAGTGCAGGACGGTCTCTTGAGTACAAAGCTATAACATATCCATCCTTCAGCATATCAACAGACTGTCCACTTAGTTTCTTGCCAGTTTTAAGAAGCTGGACAGTAGTTGACACCTGCATTAATTCTATAGGGGTTTTCCTACTTCTTGAGTCTTCAGGAGATTGAGAACCAGAACTTAATGCTTGATCTGTGCCACTCATAGCAGTGTCATCTTCTATTTGCGAAGTACTTTCTTTCTCTAATATTAAGGGTTCATCTGATTTTTGTAAGTTTCTTTGACGGGCATGCCTCTTTTTGGCCTTTTTACCTGATCTGCTGCGTTTCCCATCTGATTTTATGGCAGTATTATGAGACAAACTAGAACCCTGACTTTGATTAGGAGACTCCTTAGATTGATTGGTATCCTTTTTAAGGGAGCTTTCAGGACTTAGTTTAATATCATCAATCGATTGTTCACCACAAGAACCCTGCAAAGCACCTTCTTTGTCTTGCATGCTAAACTGTCCTTTTTCATCAACTATTTCACTTTCTTGCTCATCCTCATCAGAAATGGCATCCTTTGGAATAACCCCATCAAAGAAGAATGTTTGCAACATAGAGATAGCCTTCTCCCTTATCTCCATCCACACTTCTTCACTATAATCTGCACTTCGTGGAAGTATCAATACATTGGGCATCTCCTTCACCTGAAGCAAATCATAATTTTATTAGCTAGCGTCATCATCAATAATCTAGTTAGACAATATAAGATGGTAATATACGTCCTCAGCCAATTAACTACTTCCTCAACACAGTCAACTGACTACAAACCAAGAGAATTTTCAGCTGTTTCAAAGCAGAAAATGAACCAATTCCATGAAGGCACAAACATTTTTAAAGATAATCGCTACCTTCCTAAAGAAACAGCATAGCACAGCAACACCTGAATTCATAGCCTAAGATATTTTATCATACCCATGCTTCCATCCACTGTGGCCCTTCAGCTCCATCTAGGGCACAACCAGCTAATGTGCCATCAATGAGAAGCTGCTTTAATGCACAATCATCCAAGAGCTGGCTGCTGCCCGTATTCACAAGATAAGCCCCTGAATGGAAGTAACCCGGAACAGAAACAAATTTAGACAAAAAAAAAAAAAAGAGAAAGAATCATAATTAAAGAAAATGCAAAAGGGATCTCAAAACATGAAGCAAATGTACCAGGTTTTACATGCTGCAAACATTCAGCATTGATAATCTGAACAGTTTCATTTGTTAAAGCACAATGAAGTGATATAAGGTCACTTGCAGCTAGTAAATCATTAAGTGTATCCATTCTACGGGCGGCTGGTGGGAATGTTATGGAAGACCTACGTACTTTTCCATTTTCCTGTGGAAAACATGATTCAGGGGGAAATTTATTCCAACAGAAAAATAATATAACAGAATCAAAGGCTACAACATATTATTAACTAATAAAAGCCAAAAGGTGTGCCTTCCAATTAACAGACCATGAACACAACATGAAACATGCATATATACCACTAAAACCATAGTGAAGCTCATTTTCAATTTAAATACGATTTGCAATATATCTGTTATTCTTTTTCAATTTACTGAATAACATGTTAGAAGAGACTATTACTTTAAGAACTTTAGATCCAGCTCAAAATGCATATACCAATTCAGCTATATTGTGCTCAACTCTTTCACAGTTGATAGTTCAATAAAAATTTGCTTAAACTATTTCAGATAGTGTGCATTTTGAATAGCACTCCCTATGAGAATTCTATAACACTTGTCACAAAAAGCATTAGTTCTTCCTAAATCCATAAACAAGCTAGCACAAAATTGTTAGGCTTTAACACAAAGTCACTAAAATGCTACCAGATTTTTTCACCTAATTACCAAAATTTATTTGATCAATAGCAAATGAGCACTTTAACAACAGCATTTAACAATGTAGCAGATTTATAGTTGTTAAAAGTCCAACTGGTGAAGAAAAAAAGAGGTAAGCTTTCTGTAACCTTTTACCTCTACAACATCAAAATAAAGCACACTCATTTTGAAGGCTAAGCTTCTCGATGCCAGAGACTGGGCCGACGCAGATCTACCAACAATTCCCAACACTAGTCCTGGGCACCGCCTCATTCCCCGACAAAGCGGCTGAACCGAGCCGAGCCAGCCGGAAGCCGAAAGCGTGTGGCGAGAGAGCAAGTGCGTGCGACGGAGCAAGCCAAGAAACAGCGCCATGACAGTATCGGCGATCTCCTCAGCTCGCGAGGCATCGACATGGACAAGATTTAGTCCAAGATCAGCGGCTAAGGCGGAGTCGACGGCGCGGTCAGAGGAGCCAAGGCAGAGGATGAGCTGGTAAGGACGGATGCGACGCTGGGCAGCCCGAGGGAGGTAGGCAAGGGAGTGGAGGAGGACAGCCGCTGCAGCCTCGATCTTCCCGTCGCCTAAGCCGCTGAGAGGAACGTGCTCAACGAGTGCGACGCCCGCCAAGGATTCTTGTTCGAGGACACAATCTTCGATGCAGTTGAGGGAAACGACCAAAGGGAGAAGCGTAGGGTTGTTACGGTGAGGCATTGTGTCAGAAGATTTCAGTCTAGACGACGCCGTTGTGGTGGAGGTGTTCATCCTCAGATCCTGCGCTATTTGCTAAAGGAGTAAGGGGCAAAAGATTTTGGGCGGTGGTTACTGGTTTCGGTTTATGGGTGTAATTTTGAGCATTTTGAAGGGCTAAAATTTCTTGGAGGGGATTGTGATGTAAACTGAATAGAAATCAATCAATTTATGGTTAGATTCTGATGATATCGTTGTGGTTCTCTTTCTCGGCTTTGTTATAGTTTGGTGTGGCTCCTCAGCTTCGGGAGGAGTTCCCCTAGTTCTCAACTCAACGGACTTCACAGAAGATGAAATGAAATGAGATGCCATTATGAATTTCTGAATTCCAGTTATGTCCCAATTTTTTTGGCAATTAGCGGCCGGCCCTGCCCTACAACACTTTTGAAATGCATGACATGACATGAGCCTTTTGACGGTCCATGGCATTTACATGTAAGCTGTACTAGTACAAATTAGTAGCCAATACCCCAACGATTTGCAGTCTTCAAAGAACTCACCAAAAGTGCTTAGAGCTGCCGACCCACATAGAATTACATAACTGAAACTTTTTTTCATTATCAATGTTTTGAACCAGGGTACCACTATAATAAATTACATATTTAAGACTTTTACATTACCTACCAAAATAACAAGCGTATGATCTTTCCACAGACCATACAATGAAAATTTTCTACAAGACTCGCATCACAACAACTGCTGAACAAGTCTATATCACCTAGGTCATGTAGAATTAAAAGTGGCAGTACATTCTTGTCCAAACACTGAGCGGGTACGAACCTTTCTTCTTCCTTTTTATATGAACCAGTATATTCATAATTCAGGGTCGAATAAGCCAATGGAGGGGATAGAAAAGGTACGTACTATTGCATATTCTCTAAGAGCAATTCATAGCTTAAACACGCTAAGCAAACAATTTCCACCCACCGTACCAGAGCTCGCATTTATAAGTTTGAGTTGCTATCTTAAGCTTTTCTACAGTTTCTGGTTTGCAATCCTGATTAGGAGTGAATAAATAATCGATTAATTGATTTGATTTGAAAAAATCAATAATCAACTTAATCAATTTTCATTTAACAAATAATTGAATCGATCGAATATTATTAAATAATTAATTATAACCAAATAGATTAAAATCAATTCGATTTGATCAGTTTGATTAAATAATCGATTTTTTTATCAATTTTTTTTATTATAAATACTTATTTAATCATAAATTCAATTCAATAAAATTTAAAATCTAATATCATTCAAACTAAATTACTAAAAAATTTAATAATTTCAATAATATTTTATAAAATAAATAAATAAAAATATTTATTTTAATTTTTTTATTTTTAATTATTAAAAAATCGATTAATTCGATCAGTGTGATTATCAATTTCAAAAATCAAAAATCGATCGAATTAATTAATTTAATCGATTTAAAAAATTAATTATAATTAAAATTAAATAAATCGAACCGATTTAATCGAATTTATTCGAATTCAATCAATCTAATTGATTCAAACCTACCTTTAGTCTCCCTTATCCTTATCTTTATCTTCAGACAGCTACCAAAATCCTGAAAGATTTCCTTTTCTTTTATAATTAAAACAAAACATCACCCTGCCAGGTGAAAGGATCTATCTTAGAAAAACCTCCTCCTAAAATTCCGGATGGTTGATTGATATGATCGCATTAGCAATCCAACTCCAACTCCAATCCCAAGGCACATTCCTAGGCTATTCCAACACCAACTCTAACACCAGCATTAATCCATGAAAGTTGGCCATCCTCGCCGGTGTACATATCTTCAGAGTAGTAAATGTGTCCAATTTTCCCATCAGAGTCGTAATCTTTAAGTTCGGCTTCTGTATTCTGCACACCACCACAATAATTATTCTACTTTAGTCAAAAAGAACTGCATGTGAGGACAAGAAATTCAATTCTAGACAAATTGAATTGCAAAAAGGACCCACAGAAGCTTCTAGAAATCAGCCAGAACACACTAAACAAACACATTTCAGTATCCCCTTGTTATTTTGAAGCTCATAGTTACAGTAAAGAAACAAATTTTATAATGCATCTATGAATAAACAGAAACTAAGAAACTGAAAGCAACAGTAATCCTAAATTTTTTATGACTTCGTCATGTCGTCATAACAGGCAGCTGTTGGTGTTATGCCTCCAGAACTTAACAAAAAAATACAATTTCCCCTTAAAACCCGTAAAAGTGAATATAGGTGATAAATTTGGGTTATAGGAAGCAGATTAATCAGAACAGATGACAAATACCCTAAATCACTCTGCTAGCTTAACAAGCAGAGAATAAGCTGCCGCAAGGGCTTGGAGTTACAAATGAAGGATCCAATCATCATTATGCCAACACAGACAACAGCAATCCTTTATCAGAGAACAGGTAGAACAACAATATTATATCCCTAAAAACATCTGCATACATATCCCTGGCTCCTAGTCTCTAACACCAAAATAAACCTCCCATCATATATAGATAACACAATGCCAGAAGCATTGCAATTCAACTCAGCAGAATTATAAAAGCAATGACAGTCTTTGTATGCTAAGGCCATAAGTACCCTTTAAAGCTCTGTCATAAGATTTTTAAACAATCATCATTTTTAACGCAGCCAATCTCCGACCATGCTTGAACCTACATCTATATTATGGGTTTATAATAAGAATAAAAAAAAGTTAAGACATTAAAACCAATTCCAATTTTACCTGCAATTTCCGGTATCTAGTCAATCCATTGCCCTTTCTTCCTCAAGTATCGTCTTGGTCAATATCACAGGCACATCCGCACAACACCCCGCCATATAACAATCCATGCTCCATTCTCCTTCCGTCCTTTCCGATGAGCCACACAACACCGTTTTTTCAATCCTCGTACACCTCGAATTCAAACCCTCCCATGACGCGAACGCTGTCGGTGCTTAAACAAGTGGCCTCAGACGATTCTCGGTTGAGACGGTCACGATGGAGGGTAAGTGAAACGGAATCAGAGGCTGGAACACGAAAGCCATCGACTTCGAGGGAAACGGATTTCGAGCCATACTGAGGAATTGTTTATGAGATTGTAGGAATTCTAGGTTTTCGCGATTAGAATTGGCGCAAGATCATGTCCACGGCTATCGAAAATTAGAGGATGGGAACAGGGAAATGATTAGTAAATTTGATTTTTTTTTTTTTTAAATTTTTGAGTTTGGTTCAGCCTTCTTTTTAAATTTAATATTTTATTTTATATATTATTTTAATATAATTTTTAATATTTTTTAAATATAAAATAATTATTTATATTTTTATAAAAATTTAAAATATATAATTCAATTTAATGTAATTTTTTTATTTTTTATTTTTAATTTAAAATTTAAATAATAATATATACATTTAATATTAAAATTTAATTCTAATCAAATAAAAAATCAATCTAAATTAAATTAAATATTACCATTTTGATTTTTTTTTTCATTTTTTCAAATGTTTTGGCACCGTCACCCTGACTTGGACCGAGAATATACGCATAGGCATAATAGCCCTGATTCTTTATGAATTCAACTGTGCTAAAAAATCAACACTCAAAAGCTAGGCCCATCACCTGCCCCAAGGTTGGCGATCTATGGCTCGGTCCACCTTCATTTTGTTGGGCGGGCTTCTTTATCTTTAAAATTATGGATTTAGATACACTGTCCATCTAAAATTCAACCCAACTCAAATTTTGATTTTGTTTGAAAAGCTAAATTAAAATTATTATTTAAGAAAAAAATGTAACTAATGTTTATTGACTATTGGCATGATTGATATTTAAGAAAAAAATTAAAACAATACATTAAATAAAAATTATTTCTTAAAAATAATGACGAAATCTTTTTAAATAAAACACAAAAAAATAACTTAAAACAATTTAAGAACCAATTTAACTCTTTATGAGTCTTTACCTAAATTGAATTGAATGTCAAATAATATTCATACTTAAAAAATCACCCACGAATCAAATGTTGAAACAATTCTTACTTATAGCCTTTTTGTTCAAAAAATAATAAAATAAAAGTTTCGTTAGGAAATGGATGGTGATGCGTTGCTATTCATATTTCAAATGATTGAATTGCACTATTTAAGCAAAAAAATGTGTTAGAGGAATTTGATAGTCAAAAGGGTATAATGATCTTTTTTTCTTTCAAAGCCTTTAGCAGATAATTAGAAATATTTTTATCATTTGTACCGATGTGATATGACATAGTTAGTTCTACCTCAGCTCAATCTTGTCCTAATTATCCTCTTATAGTCCCTTTTAGCTTACCTATAAATATAAAAACTCAAGCACCATGAGGGCAAGTTCATCCCATTTATTTCTCTCTCTCTTTCATATTTTCTTATTGACCTGACCTTTACTGACTTGTGCATCGGAGTGCAAATGTAAGAAACATCCCATACCTTTACCTTTAACAGTTTTTCTCTTCTATATTTACAGGAATACCCTTAGGTTGGAGCTCGATACCAATATTTGGAGACTAGGTAGGGGATCTTATATTAGCTGAGCACAAAATAATGCCACTAAGAAAAAGAACCAAAGCGGAATGAGAGGCAGTTGTCCTGATTGGAACAGAAATTCACCTTAACCAACATTTTGCTCGCCCAACTCAACTACAGATGGGATCGACCATGGAACAATTTCAAGCCCTAACAAAACAAATACAACCTCTCAAGTATATACTGCAAACTATAACCCCACCATAAGTTTCAAAAATATCGGACTTAATCACATCTAACCAAAAAACCATTATTGGACAACCAAGCTACGAAGAGGCGAATACTTCCTCAACCTTTAAAGAAAAAAAACACACAAACCCAACTTATCACTAGCCCAACTACAATTCCACACCTGTCACAACCTAAAAATCTAAACAAATAGACCATGAATTTTAACCGAATAGAAATTTGAAAGCTTGGATGCAAGCAATGAAAAAAGAATTGAAAATAAAGGCAGTGGCATTTGAGAATAAGCTCAAGTTCCTGGAGACCTCACTTTTATTGAAGAAATTGATAGAGCCATACATTTTAAAGGATTTAAAATACTAACCTTGTAGACCTACGATGGTACTTTCGACCCTTTTGATCATTTGAAATTTTATAAAACTAAGATGATGATTCACGGGGCAGAAAAGGCTCTAATGTGTAAAGGTCTAGCCACTATGTTAAAAGGTGCAGCTTTGTCCTAGCATAACAACCTGAAGTCGAGGTTATCATTCCATTCAAGTAGCTTAGCC